CTCCTGGCCCCCTGCTCCTTGGAGCAGCCCTCTATGCCAAGTTCCGTGTAGGGAGCAGGGGGACCCTCACCCCAGCCTGGTTGGAGCCCAGCACAAGGTTGAGCTTTCGTTGCCCCCTCCCCTGCTCCCTGCCACCACTTTCCTGCAACTACAGGTAGCCCTGGTCTCCTTTCCTTGCTCATCTGGGAACAACCACACTTTCTAAACCTGAACTTGGGATTCCAGGGCTAGCGGTCAGAGCTAACCAAGGGGAAAAGAGGCCAGAATGTCTGGACAGGGGCTGTTACAGCACATGCCAGAAGACAGCCTCCCCATGGGACATGATTATGGTGTTGCCCTCTTTGCTCAGCCTGCCAGGGAGCTCAGAGCTCAAATTAAGGCTCTTGTACGGTAGCTAGTGTTGGCTGACGGATTTTGGAATACTTTGTCTTCTCCACATTCTTTAGAATTCCATTTCTGTTATAATGGGCAAATCAATCATGCTTTTTATTTTAATCCTCCTCCAATTTTCTGAGTACAGATTTAAATTTAAATTTAAAAGGTGGAGATTACCCATAATCCACAGCAGCTCTGGCCTCTCTCAAATTTGTTCTTTCTTCTGGGGAAGGAGGTCTGCTCAGCCCAGCTTGCTATGGAGAGGCACCTCCTGCTCCATGCTGTGGTGACTCCCCTTGTCCCTGGGTCCCACCACACAGGTGCCCTGTCAGTAGGCAGGCCGGTAGCAGTGGTTTCCAAGAAGGTGGAGATGTGTGTTGGGAGATGGGAGAACTCCCGGGGGGAGGTTAAGCAGCGCCCTGGGGGTCCCCCAGGACCTCCCAGAGAAGGTGAACTAGGCCAAGACGTGAGGCTCTCTTGGGCCCTGTCTCCTCCATCAAAGCACTCAGCCCGGTGGCAGGGCAGAGCAAAGACTCCAGCAACAGCCGCATCTCTGGGCCAAGCACTCCATTCCAGGGGTAGCAGAGTGGGAGGCTCTGACCAGGGGCTCTCCACGCCCTGGCTTCCAGCAGCAGCCTCGATGGCCACCTAAGGGGTTAGTAGGCAGGATTGGGAGTCTGCACTAGGCAGGGGAGGCGAGGAGGATTAGCTGCAGGGACCTCAGCTGACAGCCTGCCATGATCCCCACACCCAGGGCACTGTGCAGCCACCCCCTCCCCCACTGGCCACGGCATCCCTCCCCGCTTGCACTTGCACAGGCCCCAGCAAGCCGGGCGGCCCGGCTCTGAGTCACCAATCAGGCTGGGTTGGGCCAGGCTGCCCAACAGCCCCCGACTCCAGCCCAAGGCCTCCTATACTTACTTCACTGGGGACCCCATGAGTGTGGGGCTTGGGAGAAGGGTGGCCTTGCTGGGGGGAGTGGACAAGGAGGCATAAAGCCTGAAGGGAGTGGGGCGGCCCTAGGACTCCTACACCCCCACTCTGACCCTCTGCAGACTCTCTAAGCCCCTGCACCTGCTCCCTGGCCTGAGGTGCCCCAAGGGGGCCTCCCTCATGGGGTCCAGGAGGCCTGCAAAGGGTCCCAGGGGAAAATCTCCATCAGGAGAGCCATGCTGACACAGTGGCGACTAATGGCTCATTTTTAGAAAGTGTCACTGAGCTGTTGGGAAACACAGCCCAGATGGCATCATGAGTACCAGGCCTGGTGTCAAGGTAAGGCCCTGTGAAACACTGACTTGGAAATAACAGTTGTGACCAATACAATTATTTTTTCAGTGATAATAAAAAAGGCCTTCCAGCAATGCCCTCCCCGTGGTGAGGGTGGGATGCGCTGGACGACTCCTCCGGCGCTGGCAACAGGCAGTACTGGGGCCTTCTGGAAGCAAATTGGCAGAATCTGCCAAGAGCCACAAGGACCTCCTGTTCTCTGACCTGGAGGCCGGCAGACATTCAGGAGAGGCCAGTGGAGAGGTCACAACGAAGGGAGCCCTTCAGACTGCGTGCCACGGGAGGAACCAGCAACCACAAGCCGTGTAGACAGCGGTATAAGACACAGGTCCACTTGCTGACCCCTGGAGACCAAGAATGTGACCTCATTCTTTGTGGTACTGTTAAATTATGCTCTTGGGATGATCTTGGATGACCTGGGTGGGTCCTACCTCCAATGGCAAGTGTTCCTATAAGGGATGGAAGAGGATGGGAAGAGGAAAAGGCCTTGTGACCTGGGGCACAGAGTGGGTAGCAGTGACCCGGCCACCAGCCCAGGAGCACCTGGAGCCTCAGAGGCAGGAAGAGGCAGGAAGGACCCCCCAGCCCCCGGAGCCTCAGGGGGAGCAGGACCCTGCCCACACTTTGATTTCCAACTTCTGGCCTCCAGGACTATGAGAGACCACATTTCAACCAACCGGTGTGCGGTCATTGGTTACAGCAGCCTTAGGAAAGGAAGACGGAGCATGAAGTACCCAGGCCTGGCACTGGAGCAAGAGGAGGGGCACACTCCCTCCCGAAGGCCCCAAGTACAAGGGCCCATCCCCCAACAGCCTCTCTTCTCGCTAGTGCTGCTCAGTGGCCAAAGCCACACAGGGGCAGGAGAGGAGGGGGCGCCTGATGCTGTGTGGGCTCAGGATTATTGGGACAGACAGAAGCACGTAGAGACCACTAACACAGAACCATAAACCCTGTGGGCACTTGGGCCATGGAGACGGTCCTAGGAGGCGAAAAGCAGGAAAGTTACTCAAGGGAGGGTGGCTGGATGCCCACACTCAGAGACCAAGGGATGCAGGACGCTTTTCTCAGGGGCCCAGAGGGGAACTCTGGGTGCCATCCTGGGAGGGGACCTGCAGGGGACAACCAGAGCCTTTCCTGGGCCTCAGAAGGGTCCCCTGAGAAGCCATCCGTCAGGTGCCAGCGGCCAATCCTTCTCCCCTGCAGCACTCTGCCGCACCTGTGCAGATGCCAGCACCCCCCCCCCCCCCCCCCGCCGCCTGCTCTGTCCACAAGCAAATCTGGAGGACAAACCTAATCCAGTTCACACAGACGAAGAGGGTTAACAGAGCAACAATCCACACCCATCCTTGTATATTGAGTGATTGATTCATTAAGTAACTTGTTAGGGGCACCTGGTAGCTCAGTTGTTTAAGCTTCTGACTCTTGGTTTTAGTTCAGGTCATGGTCTCAGGGCCATGACATCCATCCCTGAGTTGGGCTCTATGCTCAGCAGTGGGGGGCGGTTGTCTGCTGGAGAGTCTCTCTCTGCCACTCCTCCCACTCATGAGCACACACTCTCTCTCATATATATATATGTATATGTATATATATATACATATACATATATATATATACACACACATATATATATACATATATATATATACACACACATATATATATACCTTTTTTAAAAAGTAGCTGATTAGTTAAGGAACTGGCTAATATATTAGAGCCATATATGCTGCTGTGGCCCCTGGGACGGTATGCCAGGAAGGGACCCAGGTGGGGCTAACCTGGGGCTGTGCACTGGAAGGGTGCAGACAGAGGGCCCAGGGCCAGCAGAGTGCACTCGGGCTTCAGGAGAGCACGTAACAAGAGCAGCATGCCCCACAGGTGCCCACTGCTCAGGTGGACGCCCTGGGGTCGCAGGAGGGCTCCCTGGGGGTGGGGCTCTTCTAGGTCCCTGAAGTCTGGCCTCAGAGGCTGGGGTTTCTCCAGGTAGGCATTTTCTTTTCTTTTCTTTTCTTTTTTTTTTTTTTAAAGATTTTATTTATTTATTTGACAGAGATCACAAGTAGAGAGGCAGGCAGAGAGAGAGAGGGAAGCAGGCTCCCTGCTGAGCAGAGAGCCCGATGCGGAACTCGATCCCAGGACCCTGAGATCATGACCCGAGCCGAAGGCAGCGGTTTAACCCACTGAGCCACCCAGGCGCCCAGGTAGGCATTTTCAAAACCCAGGCTACCCGCTGGATCTGCCGGGGGGGGGGGGGGGGGGCTTCTAGCGCCTGGTCATAGGGGGACTTTCATGGCCCATTTTCCTGATGAGCACCCAGAGTCCCAGAAGCCATGTGGTCCAGAGGCACTTGGGTGGGACAGGCCAGAGCCCTGCCCGTGTCTCCCCTCCCTTCTCTGGTGCCCCTTGGGGTTTGCGTGGAAGTGGGAGAAGTGCCCTTTTCCCCCTGAAGATCACGTCGGTCACGTGAGGTGCTATCCATTTCAAACCTGTCCCACCCAGCAGGGCCCAGGACTTGCCACAACTGCCAGGTTGAGCTCTGCCCTCAACTACCTTCATCCTTCCCCAGAGCCCTGGGGTTGGTGTCCCCTCTCTACAGCCCCCAGCCCCTGCTCTTCATTCTGATGCCTGGCCAGCGCCCCATCTCCAAACTTGTTTTCTCCTGGAGGACTGGGAGTAACTTGGGCGGCTTAGCTACAGGCAGCAGCGAGGCCCAAGCTTCTGGGGTGCAGTCCGCCAGTATTCCAGTCCCAAGCAGACAGGCAGAGCCGCCCCTCACTCCCGGGGCCTTTGCACACACAGTTTCCCTGGCCTCCATGCGCCCCGGGGCTTGTCCACCTGAGGACCGGCTGCTCACCTCAAGCTAGAGCTTGAGCAGCTCCTTCTCCGTGAAGCCTGTCTGATAAGCTTCACCCACCGGGATACCCCCCCTTTCCAAGTCCCCGCGTTCGGTGGTCGGAGGTCCTGATCCGAGGTCGGGTGGCGATTGGGACTGTGAGTCACGCAACTGGAGAACCGCGCTCGGCCCCTCCGTGCTCCCGCCGGGTCCAGTGGGGCGACGCGGTGCGGCTGGGGGTATCTCGCGCGTCTAGCCCCGGCTCCCACGCCCTCCGAGACCGCCCGGCGCCCCCACCCGGCCCCGCCCCCTCTAATCCCCACCGCGGGCTGGGTCCGGGCGAGTCGCGGCCCCGCCTCCCGGACGCCTCAGGGGAGGGGCGTGTCCCGCGCCCGGCAAGTCGGGGCGGGCGTGGCCGGGCCGGGGTGGGCCCGAGGGCGGGCCCGAGGGCGGGGCGGCCCGGGGCCTGCCCCCACTGGCTGCCGCGCTCCAGGCCGCCCGGGCTCAGTGCACGGTGGCGGCGGCGGCGGTGGTGCGGCTCGCTGGCGCCGCGCAGTCCTGCTCCGCCGGGCGCACGGACGCACCGGTCAGCCAACGCTGCAGGCAGGGGACGCGGGCGTTGGGCCGCCGGGCCACGAGCGGAGCAAAAGCCACACGCGGCGAGTGGGCGCTAGCGGCCGCCAGGTCGGTGCGCGGGCGCGGAGGGGTCGAGGCGGGCGCGCGGCGAGGCCAGAGCGCGCGGCGGGCTCACGTCCCGAGCTGTCTCCGCGGCGGGGCCCGGCGGGGGCGCAGGCTTCCCGCTCTGGAAAGTTTGCCGCCGCCGCCGCCGCCCTGGGAGGGCTCCGCAGAAGTCAGGGAGGGAAGGGGGAGGAAGGGAGGGACCGCGGCGGGGAGGAGGCGGCCGGCGCCAGGCGGCCCGCGAGCCCAGGGCGGTGGCGGCGGGCGGGGCGGCCGGGGGTCGGCGGAGCCGGGGCGCAGGAGCCCAACCACCGCCGCTTCCGCCCCTGCGCGTCCCGGCTCCTCCTGGGTAACGAACTGCCGCCTTCTCCCGCAGTCTCCCGAGGGGCGCCCTCCTCCCGCCGATTCCCGAGCGGGGCCATGGGGGGCAGTACGCCCGCGCGCGCCGCCTGAGGACGTCGTCGCCCTCGCCCCCACTATGGGCGCCCCGGCTCGCGCCCTCGCGATCTGCGTGGTGCTGGCGGTCATGACCGGCGCCGCCTCTATGCCCCCGGGCATGGAGCCGCGCGTCTTGCGGAGAGCGGCAGGTAAGGGAGAACCCGACGGGTACCAGAGAGGGGCGTCGGGGGCCCAGGAACGGGTTGCTGGGTGCGTGGGGGCGCCGGATCGGGGTGCGCCCGAGGGTGCGTCCTGGGCTGGCCCTGCGGAACCGGTGCCCGGGTTTCTGCAGCCCTCCTAGAGCTGGCGTGGCAGTTTGTGGGGCTCCTGGAGCCTCGTGGCTACTACCCAAGTGCGGAGCTGCGGCGGGGAGCGGGACGCGACTGCGGCGTCCGCAGCCACTACCCCCCGCGGTTCCCCAGTGGGGTGCAGCCTGGCCCCGGGCAGCATCGGGAGGGCGCGGGGCTGCGTTTCCACGATTCCGCGGGCCGTCCCTGACGGAAAGTTCCTATTGTTGGTGCTTCAGTCCCAACCCGCCTCCGTCCCGGTTCATGACTTCGGCCCAAAGCGCGAGACCGCACTTTGGAGGGAGGGTGTGAGTGCGTCAGCTTGCCACCCGGGCCCTGCCCCCCCCCCCCCCAGTGGCCTGCGTGACGACGCTACATGGTCTAGTGCCTCCGCTCGCCAGCCCTGCTCTCCTGCCGGGTGGCTGAAGGTGTCTGCCCCCCGAGGGCGCGCGCCCGACTCCAGGCAGGGCGCCGGCGGGGGAGGGAGGAGAGGGCGGGGGTCTGAGGGCAGTGGAGCCGCGGACCCTAGCCAGCAGTCAAGGTCGGGTGGACGTCGGGGGTCCGCGAGGGACCAGTCCTCGGAGCGCCGGGTAGGGGAGGGAGCGGGTCGGTGCGCCAGGCTCCGCCCCGCACACGCGCCGCGGCCCTCGAGGTGCAGCGCGCGCGGCCTCCTGCCGAGCCCGCCGTGCGCTCCGGGCGGCGCCGCCCCGCACACGCGCCGCCAGACTCCCGGCTGCGCCCGGAGGAGAGGGCCTGCCCGGGGGTACAGGCGATTCCGGGGGGACAGCCGATCCCAGGCGCACAGGCGATTCCGGGGGCACAGCCGACTCCAGGGGCACAGGCGATCCCTGGGGCGCAGACAACCCCGGGGGCCGCGCGGAGTGAGGCCTTCGCCCGGTGAGCTCTCGCCCCACCCGGGCGGGACCCGAACAGCCTCTCCTTTGTACCCGGCGCGGCCACAGACCGCGCATTGATGGCGGCCGCGGCGGCCTCGCGGGGAGGTGTGAGCTGAGCGGCGGCGGGCGCGCCGTGCCAGGGAGGCGGCGGCGGCGGTCAGGACGGAGGCAGATGGCGGCCCTCCCCTCCCCGCGCCCCCGCGCTCCTTTCTACGGCGGCGGCTTCAGCCTCCCGGAACAATGTCATTTTTTTATGAATGAAATGGTCCCGGCGCTTGAATGTGTGTGTCATTCAGCGACGTGACAGAGGCCGTCGCGAGGTCAGCGCGCGCTTTTAGCGTCCTGCTCAGGCGGCCCCAGCGTCCAGGGGCGCCGAATAGGCGGTCGCGGGGGGAGCCCCGAATTAGCATTCGCATTCAGATAAAGATATTACTCCCTACGGCCGAGGAATGTCAACTAGCCCCGAGGACGGGGCGGTGGGCGGGGCTCCAGACCCTCCCGGGACCCCCTGAGGCATTCGGGGGCCGGCATGGGGGCGAGCCATCTTCCCTCTGGGAACGCACCCGATGCAGGGCCTGGGACACAGTGGCAGGAGGGACCCCGGGGCCCGGGGCCTCTTTCCTCCATTAGAGGTAGCTGCGCCCCTCCCGGAAGGAGAGCTAGTGAGACAGGTAGTGAGTGGCTAGGTCAGCGAACCTAATCCAGCTCGTGAAGTAGATGGACCAGGCCGGAAACATTCAAAGACCTCGTGAAATGTAGAGGTTCCAGCTGACATTTTACTGGGAAACATGAATCAGGAAGTCAGAGTTAGCTGGGGCGGAGGTGGGGAAAGTGGGGGCCTCTGGCCTGACCTGGGTAGCCTTCATCTCCAAATGGGGCCCAGTATTTCCTGTGAGGGGCCTGGGGGGGGCCATGCCGCCTATCCTCTGACTCCCCCCAGTCAGCAGGGGTCCTTTGGGGGTACAGGGCATTTCCCAGAAAAGCCCTGGTTGCACCCTCCCCCTCCCACCACCCCATGGGGCTGGACTTTGAGCCCCACAGCCCTCTGGGTGGTTCATTAACCTGGTTAAGCAAGAGGCTGGACTTCTGACCTCAGTCCCTGCCCCAAGCAGAGACGCACCCCTGCCCCCAGGGCCTCAGCTCCTGCTGGGGCTGGGTGTGCCCCATTTCATAACCAAAACTAAAGGGGAACAGGAGCCCCAGCAGGCCTGAGTGACTTCGAAGTAAGTAAGCAATGAGGGGAGTCTTTTCTGGACGGGATGGGAGCTCCCTGATTCCAGATCCTGCTGGGGCTCTCCTCTGGGTGCCCTCCTCCAGCCCTAGTCACTTCCCCTATTTGTGAGGACAGGTAATGGCAGAGTTCTGGAAAGGGCAGACTGGGTCATCCTGTAAGCCCACATTCACTTGCCTACCTCCAATCTCCCCCTTTTTTTTTTTCTAACTTTGTTATAAAACTTTTCAGAAAGTTTCCAGGTGGGGAAGGGGGAAGATCAGGTTTTCTCCCTTGACTTCGGGTTCCCTTTGAGACAAGCTGTTTCTCTTGGGGTATTTGAAAGCATGTAGGTCCCATACTCTGAAGTTGGAAACCTTCAGCACATGTCCAGAACTGGAACCCTTTGTTCTTGGTTCTACCCTAAACCCCAAATCTCTCGGGTGCAGCCAGCTCCAATGGCTCCTTTGAATCAGGTCTGAATTTGATGCTTGTTCTTTGGGTTGCCCCCAACCCAAGGCTCTTCTGAGGGAATGTGGTCCAGCCCCTGTGCCGTCCCTGTGCACTGGGGGGGGGCTCAACTATAGTGACCTGAATCCAGAAGTGTTTCCTCCCCGTTGAGAGTTAGGGGCTCAGCGGCAGCCCTCCCAAGTAGGCTGGCCCTGGACGGGGCCTGGTGACCTCAACGGTGATGGTTTTGGTGTCCCACCCCTGCTGTCATGTGATCCAGCCCTTCGACCGCTATGGTGGCCACCCTGGCCTTCCAGTGGGATTTCTGCCCTGTGTCCTGGAGGCCCGGGTTGGGGGGGCAGTTGAGGCACAAGGCCAGTGAGTTAGCAGAATCAGGAAGATCCTGTGACTGGGAAACAGGCCTGCAAGCACATCTGGGCTTTTCCAGGATAGAGTACCCCTTGAACTGTGCCCTTGGGCTGCCCTTGGCACACAGCGCCTGGTGGAGCCCAGACCCCGTTGGGGTGGGGGTGCCGGTGGGGGCAGACATTCCACCTGGGCCCACTTCCCTCATTGGCACATGGGTACCTGCCATGGCACACAGGACTTGGCCTCCAGCATGTGTGGGCCCCAGCACTGGCATGGGTGTGGGCAGAGCCCCTTTGTGTCAATGGAGAAAGACTCCCTCCTGGGGCTGCTGGAGGTGGGGGACTGAGCATCACGTGCCCCTGCTGCTCCCTAGGTAGAGCCCAATGGTGACCGGTTTTGTGCTCACCCGTGCCCATCGCTTTGGGCCCTGCCCATCCTTCTCTGTCCCCCTGCCTGACCCTATGCACTCAGCCACTGCTGGGTCATGACTTGGCATGGGCCTGGTGGATCAGATCCCCTGGAGGCTACCTGGGTCCAGGGGTCTCCAGCTTTGGCACTTGGGCACATCTGGGGCTGGGCCTCAGTTGATGGCAGCGTCTGTCCACCAGCGGATGGCTGGCCTAGGGGCTGCTCCGTGTCTCCCCAGTCCCATGCTGGACCAGGCTGAAGGGAATGCTGTGTGGACGGTTGACCTGCCAACGCTGCCCAGACCAAACCAGAACCAAGCACACTGTTGCCCTTGGGCCAGGGCCTGGGGCTGAGGCTGCCAGGACCAGTCTATCCTTAGCCTTCTGGGGGGTCTCAGCCAGCTCCCAGCACTGGGTGGTCCCCACAGGACATAGTAGCCAGGACTGGGGGGTCGGAGGTCAGAGTAGGAGTCCCCTGACTGGGCCCCAGGGGTGCAGACTTGAGGATACTTCAGAGACCCTCCTGGAGGGCCTGGACAGGTGGGACTGCCGGAAGTGAGTAGGCAGACTTGGGACTGTCCAGGGAGCCAGGGGCTGGTGTGGCCAGAGTGGGCAGCTGGGCCCTCGAATCTAGGCCACGCGTCAGCAGAATGACAAGTGACAGTGTAACTGACCCAGCTGGGTCTGGGGAAGGAGGCTTGGGCCGTGGGACCACCCACCCCTGTCCTGGGCCCCGAGCCCGGGCCTCCTGCCTGCACTGGGCATTGTCTGCCCCTGGCAGGGAGGCCTGGGGGTGATCGTCAGCCCCGCCAGTAGTGTGTCCCTGGATCTCAGACCTCAGCCCTTTGCAAGCTGGGCAGCTGCTGGGGAGGGAGGAGGGCCCCTGGGCTTACCCATGGATATCCACCCTTGGCGAGGATCCCCTCCCCCAACAGAGCATTGGCACGTAAGGTGGGCCACGTAAGGGCCCCTTAGCCCTGGCATCAGGGCTCCCACTCTGACCTGCTCCTGGCTGAGTCTGGACTGTCTCCCACTCCTTCCAGCTTGGGTCCTTATCCATGAAATTGGGGGGGGTCCAGGTCCCCTTAACCCGCTGGCCGATGAGACACTGCTGGCTAGACACAGTACCCTCTCTGTATGAGTTTTTTCTTGCTGTGTGTTTAGTGTAGTGCTGACCTGTGACTCACACGCATGACACTCCTTCCTAAGTCAGGGTCCGGGTGTTCCATGACCCTGAGCGCCCCAACCCCGGGCTGGCCCCTGAGGTCACCGGCCCACAGCAAATGCTGCTCTGGGAGGTTCGGCCCATGCTGCCCAGACATGGTGGGTCTGTTCTCTGGTCCAGAAGTGCTTTTGCCACCAAGGGGAGAGATGGGAGTGTTAAGTGGGACCCCTGCCCGTACCCTGTCTGTCCTGCCTTGAGCCTCCATTTCAGGCTAGAAGGCAGAGGTCTGTGGAGGACTGCCTGCCGACTGCCTGGTTTTGAATGGCCTGTGAGCTCAGGGTGCAGTTTGCATTTCTGAGTAGTTGGGAAAACGCAGAGGAAGAGTAACACTTCAGGATGCTTTGCCCTGGGAATTCTTGGTGTCCATCAGGACGGTCTGGCAGGAATGCAGCAGAACCTGCTTTATCATGTGTCATTCGCATCAGTGCCCCCACGGTCTAGGGGTCCTCGGGGCGCACCCCCTGTTGGCAGGGCTGGATGTCACCATCCCCAGCCCTCTGCAGGACACATTGCAGGATTATGGGCTCTGGACGCAGAGCCTCTGGGCCCCAGATGCCCCCGCCACAGCCTCCGCTACATGTCTGGGCGGTGGGCCTGCCATGGTGCCTCGGCAGGGGGCGCCCAGGATTCCTGTTTTGGGGGCGCCTGCCTTAGGGTCCTCCATCTCCTCCACAGAGGCCCCAGGGCCTGAGCCCGGCCAGCAGGAACAGCTGGTCTTTGGCAGCGGGGACACCGTGGAGCTGAGCTGTCATGCGCCTGCTGGTGGTCCCACAGGACCCAGCGTCTGGGTCAAGGACGGCGTGGGCCTGGTACCTTCAGACCGCGTCCTGCTGGGGCCTCAGTGGCTGCAGGTGCTCAACGCGTCCCACGAGGACTCAGGGGCCTACAGCTGCCGGCAGCGGCTCACGCACCGTGTGCTTTCCCACTTCAGTGTGCGAGTGACGGGTGAGTGCCCGCCGGGCTCCCCCAGGCTCACTGCATGGCCTTGGGAGGGTGCGGGCTCTCCTGGGCTCACCCCATGACCGTGAAGGCATGTGGGCTCCCCTAGTCTCACCCTATGGCCATGGCGGAGCGGGGTGGGGGGTGTGATGGGTGAGTGGCTGCGAGGTCAGGGGTTGGGACCGTGTTCCCACAGCATCCCACATTGAGCATCTTGGTGGTCATTGGTAGAGAAGGGAGCCCCCAGAGACTCAGGAGGGGTGGCAGGCACCGGGGAGTAGGCATTGGGTGCTTGCCTGTCAGGGGGCTGACTCCTGCGCACTCTATTGCCTGAATTTCAGATGCTCCGTCCTCTGGAGATGATGAAGATGGGGAGGACGAGGCTGAGGATACAGGTGAGCCCAGATTGCAGGCATGCAGGGCTGGCCAGGGGTGGGGATCTGCCTTCCCAGGGGTGGGCCTGCTTCCTAGGTGCCAAGCCCTACACTGTCATCGGGCAGGTGGGAGACCGAGGCCTGGGGGCCACCTCCTCAAGGCCATGCCGAGAGTCGGGTCCCCTCAGTGTGGCGGCCCTGAGCTCTGGGTGGCAGCAGCGGGGGCTGTAAGGCTTTGGGTGCGGTGGCCCAGGCCAGATGTGTCTTTGGCAGGGCTGCCGTGGGGCCGTCGGCCTGGGACGTTAGGGGCATGGGGAGTGGGAGCAGAGGGTGGCTGTGGGCTCCAGGGACCAAGCTTTGGACATGTGCTCAATGTAAACGGGAGGCTGTTGCATTTGCTGGGTGTGGGGGCTGCAGGTGTAGGGAGCAGGCGGGTGACGGCACGCAGGGGATTAAGCCTGTCCGTCACAGAGGGGCTGGTTAGGGGCGGTGGGCTGTCTGTTTTTGGAGGAGCCAAGTTTGAGAAGCTGACAGATGTGGAACAGGGGTGGGAGGCCCTGCGGGGTTCAGTGGGCAAAGAGGTGAGGGGGAGCCAGCCAGGGATGCGGGCCTGGGTGGGGATGTGGGAGGGGAGTGGTCCTGGCAGAGAGCCAGGCCCCCCAGGCTGTAGGTTGGCTCCACCTTGGGTGTGCGCAAGGCCAGAGGCATGAAAGGGCCCTTCCTAAGAAGCTGCTAGGTTTCCTCTCTTTTCCCTTTTTTCCTTTGGCTGCCAGTAGTTCAGAGCCAAACTCCAGGCCCACCTGGACCCCCCCCAGGACCCCCAGCCACGCCAGGCCGTGCTGGTGCCCCCTCCCCCATTAGCCGGTGGGTTCAGCAGCTCTGAGGGTTGCTGGCAGGGCCGCTCTCCACAGGCACTGTCTAGCAGCGCTGAGCTACCATGGTCTCAGCCTGCCGGTCACCCGTCCCTGTCCCGTCTGTCCCTGGAGGGCTCCCTGCTTGGGCCTCGGCACCCTCCTCTGCCAGGTGGCTGTGTTGAAGGCAACAGGGCAGAGGTGCGGGTGAAAGGGGTGTCTCTCCCCTGTCCTAGGGGATGCTGGTCCAACCTCCCATGGCAGGAAGGCAGCCTGCATCCCAGCAACAAGGAAGGATGGAAACCAGTTAGGGTGGGGACGGGGTGGTGAAAACCAGGAGACTGGCAGGGCCTCTCAGATGCTGTGTCACCATTTCCACTCCCCCTGCCCGTCAGGCCCTAGCGTGCTCTAGAGGGTGACTCCAGGTCTCAAGGGTTCTAGTAGACACCTGGCCATCTGTGAGATTCTGGGCTCTGCACCTTCCTGGCTTCCAGGTCCTGGCCTTGCTCGTCGGTCCGGCTGGGCTCTGTGGCCTGGGCTGACCTGGTTCTGTAGCCTGCCGGGGCTGTGCCTCAGTGGACTGGCTCCAAATGTGCCTCCCTGGGTGGGTGGGTGGTCCCCCGGGAGGTACCGCTGTGTCTTGAAGGCTCCTCGGTCAGGGTGTATTGTTCTGGACCCTTGGGCCCCCGTGGCTGGGCGGGTGCTTGGGGGAGGTGGCCAGGGCAGGGAAGGGATGCGTGTCTCGGCTTTGAGAATGCCAGGAGGTGAGGTTGGAGCTGTCGGCAGCCTCGTCCAGCTGAGGCAGCAGGCCTCAGAAGTCTGACACTCTGTGCTCAGGAGGGGACGCTGAGGCTGGAGGCATGGGCAGCCTGGTGGCCTCCGAAGGGGAGGGTCAGACGGGCCTCTGCCCCCGCCCTGGGCATGGCTGGCAAGTGCCCCTCTGTCAGCAGGGGCTCCTTATTGGACGCGGCCCGAGCGGATGGACAAGAAGCTGCTAGCGGTGCCAGCCGCCAATACTGTGCGCTTCCGCTGCCCGGCCGCCGGCAACCCCACGCCATCCATCTCCTGGCTGAAGAACGGCAAGGAGTTCCGAGGCGAGCACCGCATCGGGGGCATCAAGGTGGGCCTGCTGGTGGGTGGTGTTGGCCAGTGGGGGTTGGGCCACCATTCCTCACCTGCACACCTGCCCACAGCTACGACACCAGCAGTGGAGCCTGGTCATGGAGAGCGTGGTGCCCTCGGACCGCGGGAACTATACGTGTGTTGTGCAGAACAAGTTCGGCAGCATCCAGCAGACCTACACCCTGGACGTGCTGGGTGAGGCTCTGGGCTGGGGCGGGGGGTCTGGTGGTTTAGGGCCGGGCCGCCCCTGAGCCCCATCTGACCCCCCAGAGCGCTCGCCGCACCGGCCCATCCTGCAGGCCGGGCTGCCTGCCAACCAGACGGCTGTGCTGGGCAGCGACGTGGAGTTCCACTGCAAGGTGTACAGTGACGCGCAGCCCCACATCCAGTGGCTCAAGCACGTGGAGGTGAACGGCAGCAAAGTTGGGCCCGACGGCACCCCGTATGTCACCGTGCTCAAGGTGAGTGCCGCCCCGAGCTGGGTGCTGGCAGGGCTGTGGGCTCCTGCTCAGGGCGCTGGGCCTGGCCCACCCCGTGGCCAGGGGCCGGAAGGCATCCCAGCAGGGAGGCCCGTTGGGTCACGGGTGTTGGGGGGGCTCGGCATCCGACCAGTTGGGGAGAAGCGGTAGGGTGGGTGGGGGTTGGCTTGGGAGTCTGGGCCCAGTCCCGGCACGTGAGGCAGGCAGTGCGTGGCCCTGTGGTGAGTCCTCAGTTTTCCTGTCTGCTCTACGGGCTGGCCTCATCCCTGGAGGCGGGCGTGCATATAGTGCCCTGGGCCAGGCTCAAGCTCCAGGCCCTGTGGCAGGCAGGTGGCCACTGAACCCTTGGGGCATGGCCCACTCTGGGACCCAAGGTGTAGGCCACCATGCCTCGCACCTGATTCGGCGCTGTCTGCACGCACAGAGCACAGCTCGTGTCCACCTACCTCCCTCGGCCCCCACTTTGTTCCCATGGCCCCGAGTTGGGATGGTTGCGACACTGTCAGCCCAGAAAGAAACATCTGTTGCTCGTGAGGGTGGAGAGCAGGCACTTGGGCTGAGAGCAGAAGTGCAGACCCGAACGCAAAGGCCGCCATGGCCCCGTCAGGCAAGATCTCAACACACCCCGGAACAGAGCCAGGCCCCGGCGGGACCCTGGGGTAGGCAGGCAGAGGGCCAGCCCTGGAGGGCCTGTGCTCTGGGCTGAAGTTGGGGGACAGGCCGAAGGCACATCCTGAGAAACCATGGCCCACCACTGGGAAGTGCTTCCATGACCTCCTCCAGGCAGCCTTCCTGCCTGGCATAGCCTGGCCCACCCCCTCCGTTCCTTGAGTGCCACCCCCGTGGCGGGGTCTGCTCCAGGCCCTGCGCCCGCATGGCCACTCTGTGCCCAGCCGAGCTGCCGAGGACGCACCTAAGCCGGGTCTCTTGTCCCCGCAGTCCTGGATCAGTGAGAGTGTGGAGGCCGACGCACGCCTCCGCCTGGCCAATGTGTCCGAGCGTGATGGGGGCGAGTACCTCTGTCGAGCCTCCAATTTCATAGGCGTGGCTGAGAAGGCCTTTTGGCTGCGTGTTCACGGGCCCCAAGCAGGTAACAACTCTGTCCCACGCTGTCTGGCACGCCGAGCTCCAGCTCCGACGCCCTGGCCATGCGCCCACCTGCACGCCCCCATCCTGCTCACTCCCTGCCCCGTGGCTCACGCTGTGCTCCTGACATAGCCACGTCTGCGATGTGGGTGCCACTGGCCTCCATGTGACCATGTGCTTCAAGCCCCTGTGGCCTGTGCTGACCCCGCCTGTGCTCCCACTGCACTCCCAGGAGGCCATCAGCCCCTGTAGAGGCTGTGCCCCTCTGTGAGCTTCTGCCCCGTCCCCGCCCTGCGTGTGTGCGTACGTGCACACGTGTGTGTGTGCACGTGCATGTGTGTGTCTCTCTTGCCCACGCTCTCTCGCCTGCTCTCGTGACCTCTGCCCCTGGCTCTCCCACCTGCGTCCTTCCTGTCGGTCTGTTGGTCAGTCCATCCACTCAGCTGCCCACCCATGCTCCTCAATCGCACCCCCTGTGTGCTCGCTAACCTTGCATGCTGCGTGGGTGCAGCTTGCTGCTGGCCGCACGCCTGGCGCTCACCTGGGACAGAGGACTCGCCGGTGGAGGGACTGGCTTCGGGCTCTGTGTGGACGCACGAGGCAGAAGACCCCTGGCGCCGTGGCCGTGGTCGTGGTGGTGGTGGCAGCGGCGTTTTCCTTGCAGCCTGGCTGGATCGTCACCGCGTGGACTCTGGCCGTGGTGCCCATGGGAGGTGCTGGCGCTCGCCTATCGCGCTCTGTTCTCTCTTTGTAGACGGCGGGCGCTAACACCACCGACAAGGAGCTAGAGGTTCTGTCCTTGCGCAATGTCACCTTTGAGGACGCTGGGGAGTACACGTGTCTGGCGGGCAATTCTATCGGGTTTTCCCATCACTCTGCGTGGCTGGTGGTGCTGCCAGGTACTGGCTCCTGCTGCTGCTTGCTCTGTCCCTGTCCTCTTGGGCTCGCTGGCTTGGGACACTCCACGGCTGCCAGGGACAGGCAGGGGACCCCGTGGCCCGTGGCCAGCTTACTCCACGGAGTGCTCATGCAGGTCCAATGGCGGGCATGGGAACGGAGCTGACACACCGTGTCTTGGCTCAGGGTCCCTCCCCTGGAGCCCCCCGTTCTCAGCCAGGTCCCCAACAGCCTAGGTGGTAGCATTGGCGTCTTCCTGGGTGGTGGGTGTATGTGCTGCTGGCTCTGCTGGGCTCCTCCGCTCCTGGGCGTCCCTCTGCTGACCCAGCATCTCTGACCGCAGGGCCCTTGGTACACCCCCCCTGGGGTCTGAGCCCCTTTCCCCACTCCCACTGTGTCTCTGGCTCAGGCCCAGGGCGGCTCGTGGGGGCTCCCGTGCAGCTGGGCCAGGCCTGCAACGCCCATGTCTTTGCAGCTGAGGAGGAGCTGGTGGAGGCTGGTGAGGCTGGCAGCGTGTATGCGGGCATCCTCAGCTACGGGGTGGGCTTCCTCCTCTTCATCCTGGTGGTGGCGGCCGTCACTCTCTGCCGCCTGCGCGCGCCCCCGAAGAAGGGCCTGGGCTCGCCCGCCGTGCACAAGGTCTCCCGCTTCCCACTCAAGCGACAGGTAACAGAAAGTAGATACCAGGTTCCGAGCTGCCTGGCCTCCCAGACCCTCCATGGCCACGTCTCCTGGGCTGCTGAGCTCAGGGACACCCTGCAGTGTCTGGGGACTGGGGCCCACGTGGGGACGCGGGTGTGTGTGGCGGCTGAGGCAACCCCACCCTTGTCTTTGCCATCCCCTGGGTCACTTTGTCTTCACATAGCACTATGTGGAGCTTGGACAGCCCCCCCTAAGCCCTGGCCAGCCCTGCCCATGCAGAGAGAGCCGCAGCCTCACCGTCCCCAGCCCCCCCACCAACCCTGCCATGGTTTGGCCCTGTGGCACCAACCTGTCCCTGCCGACCCAAGCAGGTGTCCTTGGAGTCCAACTCGTCCATGAACTCCAACACACCCCTGGTACGCATCGCCAGGCTGTCCTCAGGGGAAGGCCCCGCGCTGGCCAATGTCTCCGAGCTGGAGTTGCCTGCTGACCCCAAGTGGGAGCTGTCCAGGGCCCGGTCAGTGGTGGCGATGGGACCTTGTGTGCCGGGGCCAGGGGCACATATAGGGTGCAGCCTTGCAGTGGGGGAGGAGGGATCCCTCAGAAGCCTGATTGGATTCTAGTCAGAGGCAGGTGGGAATCAGCTCCCTACATAGGGTGGCCACCACTGGACGTGGTGCTGGGGCCAGAGAAGGCTGGGCCAGGGACCCTGCAGGCGGGGGGCACCCCTGCACAGTGCTCCATCTGGAGGGCCCCACACAGTAAGAGGCTGGAGGGCCAGCGTTTTCCATCCTCATGAGCAAGGTTGTAGGGGCACATATAGAGGGCTTCCTGGAGGCAGTGGCACCGAGCCTCTGAAACGGCCTGGGACAGAGCCTGGAGCAGGCGGCGTGCTCATGGCTTCCCATCTCTGCTGCCAGGCTGACCCTAGGCAAGCCACTTGGGGAGGGATGCTTCGGCCAGGTGGTCATGGCGGAGGCCATTGGCATCGACAAGGACAGGGCTGCCCGGCCCGTCACTGTGGCAGTGAAGATGCTCAAAGGTGAGGGAGGGGTGGGCTGTGGTGGGAGGGTCCTGTTGGGGCTGGAGCAGCAGTCCCTAAGGCGGCCTCCCTGCTTTACAGATGATGCCACGGATAAGGACCTATCGGATCTGGTGTCTGAGATGGAGATGATGAAGATGATCGGCCGCCACAAGAACATCATCAACCTGCTGGGGGCCTGCACCCAGGGTGGTAGGTGCCGTGGCGGGGGCAGGGGGCTCGCGGCCCGTTGGGGGAACCTTCTCTGAGGCTCCTGTGCCCCCAGGACCCCTGTACGTGCTAGTGGAGTACGCGGCCAAGGGTAACCTGCGAGAGTACCTGCGGGCACGGCGGCCCCCGGGCCTGGACTACTCCTTTGACACCTGCGGGCCGCCCGGGGAGCAGCTCACCTGCAAGGACCTGGTGTCCTGCGCCTACCAGGTGGCCCGGGGCATGGAGTACCTGGCCTCCCAGAAGGTAAGCGGGGGTGGGAGGGCAGGCACAGGCCCCTCGGCCAGTGGGGGCCCCGTGGGAGCCTCAACCCCCCCCACCCTCCCCCAGTGCATCCACAGGGACCTGGCCGCCCGCAATGTGCTGGTGACCGAGGACAATGTAATGAAGATAGCGGACTTCGGCCTGGCCCGTGATGTGCACAACCTGGACTACTACAAGAAGACCACCAACGTGAGCCTGGCTAAAAGCAGGGGTCGGTCGGGTGGGGGGCTAGGGAGGGCTCCCCCTGCCCATAGGAGGGCCCCTGACCCAGCGTGCCCCCTTCCCCCGCCCAGGGCCGGCTGCCTGTGAAGTGGATGGCACCTGAGGCCTTGTTTGACCGGGTCTACACCCACCAGAGTGACGTGTATGTAGTCTCCTAGATCCCGAGGAGGGCCAGGGGTTGGGAGCTGCAGGGGACGTGGGATTGTGTCAAGGGGACGCAGGACACCGTTGGGAGCCTCCTGGGCCCTGGCCCGTCACCCCTGCGCTCCGCTGGGGGCCTGCTCAGGGAGGCAGGCTGACCGTCCTGTGCTCACCACCAGCTGGTCCTTTGGTGTCCTTCTCTGGGAGATCTTCACCCTGGGGGGCTCACCATACCCCGGCATCCCCGTGGAGGAACTCTTCAAGCTGTTGAAGGAGGGTCACCGCATGGACAAGCCGGCCAACTGCACACATGACCTGTGAGTGTCCCCGCTCGCTGTCTGCAGCTGGCAGAGTTCCCAGGGGGCGCAGGCAGGGCTGGGGGCAGGCTGGGAGCCTTTCCCAGCTGCCCACCCCCCCCCACCGCAGGTACATGATTATGCGGGAATGCTGGCATGCTGTGCCCTCCCAGAGGCCCACCTTCAAGCAGTTGGTGGAGGACCTGGACCGTATCCTTACTGTGACGTCCACAGATGTGAGTGCCGCCCCTTCCCCCTGCCCGTGCTGTGTGGGGGACGTGGCACTGACCTCCACCCTCCCACAGGAGTACTTGGACCTGTCTGTGCCTTTTGAGCAGTACTCGCCAGGCGGCCAGGACACCCCGAGCTCCAGCTCCTCGGGGGACGACTCTGTGTTTGCCCACGACCTGCTGCCTCCGGCCCCTACCAGCAGCGGGGGCCTGCGGACGTGAAGGGCCAGCGGCCTGCAGGCCGAGCCCCCACCACTGTTGAGAGTGGACACCAGCTCCCCCCCCATCCCGTGCTGCTGGTGGCATGCTGTCGACCACTGGGGCCCCTTTGCCTGGGCCCGAGCCTGGGACAGACAGACAATGGACAGACACTTGTGTGTGTGTGTGTGTGTGTGTGTGTGTGTGCGCGTGCACATGTGTGTGTGGGTGTGAGTCTTGAGGCCCCCGGCACAGGGATCCCTGGGGTGCCCACCCTGCTGTACAGTGACCTCCTGGCCACCAGCGCCAGCAGCACCAGGGGGACAAATGTAGAATGTAAAGGGGTTCCTCCAGGAGCTTCTCAGGACAGGGAACCGGGCCCCTTCCCCAGGCTCCCTTCCTCCCACATCCGTTGCCTCCCAAGGGCCGGGTTGGGGGGGTGCGGCCAGGCTCTGGCATGCAGTGTGGACCAAGGCCCCTAGGGCTGAGCCTGCGGGGTAGCCCCTATGCGGCAGGCCCCCGCCCTTCGCCACCTTGTGCCTGGGGATGCATGGGAGCAAACCCCCCCCCCCCCCCCCGCCGCCAGCCTGCCCCATGTCCCACCCTGGTTCCTTGGAGGCTAAATTACGGGTACCTGAAGGCAGGAGCCTTTACCTTCTCTCCGAGAGGTTCATTCCAGAAATGAGTGTACATTTATATAAATAGAATCCATGTGTCGGATACATACATGCCTATATATATGCATATCTATATGGAAGAAAGGCTGGTGTGGCCGGCACAGGACCCCGGGGGCCCAGGGAGCCTCCCCGAGGGATTTGCTGTGGAGACAAGCGCAGACACCAGCACACCACGGGGTGGCTTTTCTGACAGTTTTGTTTTAAAAATTGTACCTGGACCTGTATATTTGTAAAGCTATTTATCGATTGCCCAGAACCCCTGACCCCCACCCCACACTCATAGTGTTGAGATAGCCGCATGGCACAGAGGTTTCAGTTTTAACTTATTAACCGCGGAGAAGGGACCACAGGGTTGTGATCGTGCCGGGCGTGGCTTGCCGCCCCCCGAAACCCAGCCAGTTCCTTTGTGCCCTCAAGGGTTGTTCATAGTTTGAGGTGATTCTAGTGAGGTGTTTTGTTTCCTTTGGCCTTCTTTTGCAAGGGAATTAGATTTCTATAGGGTTTTTCTTTAGGAGATTTATTTTTGGGGACTTCAAAGCAAGCTGGTATTTTCCTCCAACTTCTAATTGCCATGTGCTCCGGGTGGGGAGGTGGCTTCCGGTGGGGGCCAACCCTGCACACAGGCTTCAATGTTATTAGATGTTACAAGTTTATATATATCTATATATATAATTTATTGAGTTTTTACAAGATGTATTTGCTGTAGACTTAACACTTCTTGCGCAATGCTTCTAGACTTTATAGCCCGGACTGCCACCTTTCAAAGCTTGCAAGAGAAAGCAGTGAATTCAGTTTTGTTACTTTTTGTACTGTCAATGGCCCAAATTTGGGGGCCTTTTTTTTGCTCATGAGCTGGCCAACCGGGCAGTGGTTCAGGGTGGTCTTTGTTCTCAGGGGCCCCCCCTCCTCTGCCTTATGGGAGCCAAAGGTGTTGGCCCAAACTGGCAGATGTGCTTTCCAGAAAATAAACGGAGTCAACTGGTTCCTGTCCTGGTTCTGTGCCTTGTTGTTTCCGGCCCTCTGGAACCCTAGGCAGTTCAGCGTCCCTAATGTCCACCTGGGACAGGTCCTGTCATCTGCCCTCCCCACCCCAAGGAGGTAGGGGTCCCCAGCTGCTGGCAGAGACTGGGACTGGCTGCCTGGGGTCACAAGCCCAGGTTCTGGCTAGGACAGGATGATCCTGGGCAAAGCCAGGGTGCGGATGAGGATGGTCCGCTGTGTGCAGCTGCATGGGGGTCCAACCTCAGGGCCATGTGTGGTCTTCACTGTCTGAGGTCCCCAAGGGCAGGGAATGGTGACAAGGGGGTGTCTAGGGAATTGGCAGTGAGAGCATCCTGGGGTGTGGCTGAGCAAGGAGGAAGGCAGGTCCTGCCAAGCCCCATGGCTGCCCCCAGCTCCTGGAATCTAGGTAGGCTCTGGGGGTCCTGTGCAGACACCTGCAGCGGCTTCTGAGGCTTCCCTCCCCCCTGCACACCCCACTTGCTGGCATCTGCGGTTACCTGGGGAGAAGAAGCTGGTTTCTAGCTGAGTTCCCCTCATGGAGCCACATGTCAGCAAAGCTTTCACCTGGCCCCTGATTCAGCCAGACCCAGGGAGAGTGCTGTCTGCCCTGGGGGCCACACTCTAGCTCCTGGATGCTTACCCCATCCCAGGCCTGGTACCCCACCCTTGGGCTTCACCTGCACCCCTGCATTCCACCATTCCTGCAACTTTGGGCAGAGGCTGCATGCTGACCCTTAGCTAGTTGGGGCACTGAGGACCCAGTGACAGGGTCTGGTCCCCTCTGCTCTGAGTTCTCAGTCTGAGGGAGTGGGGACACCGATCAGGGCACCCACCCATGCCAAACCAGTGGGGATAAGTCTGGGAAGCCTTTCAAAAGGAGGTGGCAGTGTCTAGGCTAGATGGTGAGGCTAGAGAGGATTCAGGGACGGGCAGCCAAGCACAAATTTGGCCCAGGTCCTCTCTGGCGCCCAGTGCTGTGTAGGGCCCCTCTCCCTCCTTCCTCTGCTGACCCCTGGTCTGGTCCCACTGGAGAGGACCGCTCTGGGTTAACCAGCCACCTGGCTGTGTCAACTTTTAACTCTGGCTTCTCAGAAATTCGCTCCAGCTGTAGCTGTGTCCAACTCACTTTCCGACTCTGGGGCTTCCCTGGAAGGGAGGATCTGAACCCGGTGGGTGACCCCCTCCCCCCATACCGCGACCCCACTCGGAAGCTCTCCCTGCCTCCGGTCCAGCCTGCCAGAGACCCAGTGTTCTTGGAGTTGCCAGCACTCTGGGGAGATGGGGGCCGATGGGGGTGCAAGTGTGCGCTGCTGGCCCCAGGCTGGCAGGGAGGTGGGGAGAGCCCAGAAGAGACCCGGCTGAGGGGGGCCCGGCAAAGGGTGATGGCGGGGGTAGGGGAAGCTGGTGGGGGGCGGCAAGGGGCAGGAACTGGGGAGGCGGGCGAAGCGCGGGCCGGGAGCGCCCTCTAGTGCCGCCCGCAAGCATCCCCGCCAAGTCCCCAGCCCCTCGTCCCCGCGGTCCCGCGGGGCTCCGGGGACGCGCTCGGGAACGGGGGCTAGGCCTCCCGGGGAGCTTCGAGTCTTGCGGACGCTGGACCGAGACCCCGGGCGGGACGCGGGCGGGCAGACGAACGGGCCAGGACTGCAGGTTGGGGCACTGGACAGGCAGGCAAGGGCAGCCCTGCACCCCCGCGCGGCCGGCGGTGCCTCCCCGCCCCTCACCTGCCGGTCCCACCCACTCCAGGCCCCGCCCCTCGCCTGCCGGTCCCACCCACTCCAGGGCCCCGCCCCTGTCCGGCTACACCTGTGCTGCGGCACCTGCGACCCCGCCCCTCCCCGGCCGGGCTCGCCTCCTCCTGCAAGCCCCGATGCCAGTCCCCGAGTGTCTTCTGAATCCCCGGGCGGATGGGGTCCGACCCAGACCCAGGCAGGCCTCCATGGCGGCTCAGGGAGAGAGGCGTCCACAAGCCACCCGCCCTCGAAGGGTGTAGAGCTAGCTCCCCAGTTCTCGGAGCTCCAGGCCCCGCCCTTCACCTTTCCCCCTCGCTGCCGGGTTTGGCTCCTTTCCTGGATCCCGCAATCTTACCTGTCAGCTGCCGCCCACCAGCCGTACACCCAGCATCCTCCTCCCGGGCGGGTGGACGCACACACTCAGCCGCAGCTGCCAAGGTCTTCGGGGTCGCAGCCCTACATGGAGCACACTTGCAGCCTGCCCGCGTGGGCCGGCTCCAGTCGCCCCCACCACAATGCAATGAGAGGTGTTTTAAATCCGGAACTCATCTGGTTGTCCTCAGCCCAGAAGAGCCCCTGGCCTTTCTCCCCTTTCCTGAGCTTTTGGGGGGCACAACGGTGTCGTATTGGAAGGCCCTGCTTTCTGGATATGCTGGTGCTCCTGTGGGGTCGTCAGACTTTACTGGCACAGCAAGGGGCTGTGGGAGGGTTGGGGGGTGGGGCACAGCAAGGGGCACATGGCTAGCAGCCCTCGCCCCCAGTTGTTCCAGGGAATGGTTCCCCGGGCTGGGAAGCTGCAATGCTAAATTCCAGCGTTTCTTCAGGCCCACCAGCTGGAATTCTCCCTCAACACCTTGTGGGGATGGAACCTCCTCCTGAGAAGACCGGGGAGTGGCTTTCTCCTTCCTGGTGGGAGAGTTGGCACCGGCACTGGCACCAGCACCAGCTGGCTGGCCAGAGGACCACTGCAGGGGCGGGCTCTTTGTTTACAACCCATTCTCCATGTTTCACACGTTTCTGGTCAGGAGTACCCTGTCCCCAGGACTCTAGAGCCACCTCCTTAAGCAACCCCCCAGCACCCCTCATCATCCCCAGAACCCTGGTGTCTTTCCGTGGCCTTCTGAACTGTGGAGATGAGAAACACGCTCCCGACCAGGCCCCTGACTCCCCTGAGGGCACCTAGGCGCCTGCCAGGGGCATTTTAAAGAACCTGGATGGAGCTGTTGGCCCAGGGCCCAGGCCAGGGGGCAGGCACGAGAGGAGACCTACCAGTCCTCCACTCACACCTGCACCCACAGAAATAAACCCTCCCACGTGGTTCTAGAGCGGCGTCTGAGCTCCCAAGACCTACATGGCAGAGGAAACACAGCCAAGGCCGGTCTCAGGGACAAATGGGAGACTAGTGAGGGTGGCCCTTGGGCAGGGTGCAGGCAGGGTGTCAGGACTCAGCAAAGGTGGAGGGATCCCACACAGCGCCCCATGCAGCCTGGTGCCCGTGGTGAGGCCACTGGAGACGGTGGAAGTCCGCAGCTCAGAGTGAGGCGGCCTGTCTACTGAAGGGACCTGGGAGGCGGGGGTCATCCTTGTGTCTGTCCTGTCTGCCTGGCAGCCCTCTCAGCTCTCTACTGGGGGGTAGAGTGCAGGCAGCCCTAAGCCAGCTCTCTGGGCCCTGTCCAGGCTTGGGGAGCGGGCTGTAGTGGAGGGATGGCCCCTGCATCATCAAGGACCCCCTCAGCGGAGTGCACACCTTTGGGCATCACCGTCCCCACTCTCAGGAGTCCTCAGAGTCTTTCCCAATGGAATTGGGCCGTCCTGGGTGATCCTTCAGCTGGGATCCCAGTCCTGTCTCCCCAGGTCCCATAGCATCTGCTGAGAGCTGGGGTCGGGGGAAAGCCTGGTCAGGCAGTGGCCTCCTTCCCAGTCTGGACAAAGCAAGCAGTGCACAGTGGACAGGTGATCGCGACAGTGCTTTATTAACCCTCCTCCGGACATCACACTGAGCGCCTACCCGCCGCACGGGGGCACAGTCAGACAGGACGTGAAGCCAGTGTGCAGCGGAGGCTACCCGCGCATGGTTCCACCAGGCGGACATCCATCTGGAACCTGGCCTCCCAGCAGCACAGCCACACCCACGGGCCACGGACCAACCCCTTCCGCCGCAAAGATAGAAATGGACCCCCAAGTGGTCACAAAGGCAGACATTCCAACGATTCAGATGGCTTCCACCTTGACTTCTGATGTGTCACACAGTTCAAAAATCCTACTTGGAGCTATTATAGGAACATTAACTTAACATTTTAATAAAAACACTATTTCTAAAAAAAGACATTTATACACAGCCCAGGGGGTGGGGTGGTGGTGGCTCTCAGGTGCAGCCGGCCCAGGGCCGCACTGTGAGAACCACCGCCTGGAGGTTATTCTTTAGAAATTACAAAGTGCCCTTCATTTTTTAAAAAGTCTGGATTTCGATATTCCAAAAGGGATCTAGAAGCCACACACTATCTTCCCGAATCCCAACTACAAGAGCGGGTGTTTAAAACGTGGAGGATGAAGCCCGTGCTAAGAACTCCTGCTTCCTTCTCAAGGGGTGTGGACACCGCAGGCCCCTCTGGAGGTGACACAGGAAGGCCGAGGGAGCCACCCCTGCAAGCCGCACTGTGCAGAATGGCTTTCGAGACTTACTGCTGCTGTGCCTGCACCGGGACCCAACTCTCTGCTGCAGCTAACAGCTCAGGACAGGAAGATCCCCCGCATCGAGGGGGGCCTACTGCAGGACCGTTGCCACAGGGGCCAACACCGGAGGGGCCCCGGGCCCTCGGCAAGCCTGTCAGCATGGGGGCGGGGTTTGGAGCGGTGAGCGTCTCCCCTGGAAGACGCAGACAGCAGGGGGCGCAGCGAAGGGGCTGGCCGTGGTGGTGACCACACGGTGGGGCTGCTCAGGATGCCAGGCCAGGGCGGCGAGGGTGTAAACAGGATTTGGGCACAGCTGAATGGGTGCCGAAGAACTGCTCACTAGAAAGCCGCCGTTCGCAGGGCCCACGAGCGGCCCCGAGCTCGTGCACCCACTTCCTACAGCTCAATATCATACCACTAAAGGAAGTGTAAGGTAATTCATAAATATTTTAATTAAGCATCTAGAATATATATACTTCTTTCTCAAATAATCGAAATAAAACCCCTTTAGAACCCAACTGTTACTTTACAAAGGTTTACATTTGAGAATACAGAATTTTATTCCTATTTTGTCAAGTTTCCTTTTTAATGGCTGAGTAAAACATTTCAAGTAATTTAGAAGCCATCCTTCCTGGGCCCTCATGCTCCTGTCCTGGGTCACCTGGCCACTCTGTTCCTAGGTCTTCCAAGCCTATGCCTGCATTCCCTCAAGAAAACGTTCTTGCCCATAACAGACCTGGTATCTGAAGGACAGGTCTGACGGAGCAGAGACCACAGCCCTAGCCCCCATAGAGCACCCCTACCTGAGCTGCCGGGGGTGCTGAGATGGCCAGACGCCAAGCCCATGGATGCTGCCCCACTCCAGCTGCGGGGTGCGCCAGGCAAGCCCGACATCCCGAAGCCCGAGTGCTGGGCCGGCCCCCCTCCAGGGGTGCCGCCTTTCTGAAAGCCCTTCAGGATGCCCCACCCCGGGAGCAGGAACACAGCCACCGGCCAATGGGTCCAGAAAGTCTGAGAGCAATGCTACGGCAGGCGTGTATGCCTGGAACGCCCCTCACCATCCCTGGACGCTCAGCACGATCCACTCAGTCACCCACGGGGGCAATGGCATGCAGACCACCCAAAGGGAGACACTTTCTGAAAGCCACAACACCATGATCAGTCGAGTGGAAAGCCTTACTTTCTAAGGGCTTCATGAGCATCTCTCCCAGCATAACTCTCACGTGCTGTTACAGGGCAGATGCACAGTGGTGTGCAAACATCCGGTACTAGTCAGCTGGTTAAAGGGTTAGGGCCACGCCAGAGATTAAACCAAGCAAGAGCTGGCGTCACAGGAGGCCTGCACAAGGTATCACGTCCCTGTCGTAGATCTGTGCTTGTCCAGAGGCCAAAGCATCCCACTTGTGCCATAGACGACTCTGGAAATGTGCAGGAATCACTGCTACGTAGGCTGCCGGTCAGGACTCCAGGTCCGCAGGTAACAGGCATGTCTTCTCTTGAGCCACGGTGGGCTGCGCTTCTGTCCTCCCCATCTGTATGCCTCAAGCTCCACAGGCACGGGGCGTCCACACAGCAGACCCTTTCTCCTTCTGGGATAGGCACCAGCAGGGTACGGCGCACGCTGGAAGGGAGGCACCTTCCTACCCTGGACCCACCTCCGGAGCCAGGAAGCCTGTGTATAGCCATGACTCCCCGGCCATCGGCGGGCTATACATGTGGCCACCATGGCTGGGGCTACCACAGCTGGGGCCACGGCAGCATCGTGCCACTCTGTGAATCCAGACATGATTCCCTGGAAGGGTTTGGGATTCCAGATTGAATGAATCTTCATGGAATGATGAAAATTAAAAATTACTTGATTATGGAAGTTTCTGATTTATTCCAGACAAAATATTAGGTTTGTCACTAAGAATCACCTCAAAGCCTTCACTAGCACAGCAGGGCCCGGCAACCGGCGCTGCGGGACGGAGGCCAATGCGGGAGGGGCCCCAAGGTGCCCAGGACGGGGGCAGGCCCTAATTCTTCACTTCGGCGGCCTCCTTCTCAGCCTTCTCCTTGGCCTTCTCCTTCTCCTCCACCTTCTCCTCCTTTTCCAACATGGCCACGATCTCGGCCACCTGGCTGGTGGAGATGTGGATGTCCTCTTTATCCACCAGCTCGATCACCTACGCACACGAGAAAGGGACAAGGGGCTCAGGGGTGACCCTGCCCCGACGCAGCACCTTCCCAGCAGAGTATGCAGGGGAGGTGGAGCCCAGCTCCTCCATCCCAGCAAGAGGACCACTGGGGTCCTTACGCTGCCTTGGTACTGCAGTACCAGACCTCCAAAGCCCGAGGCCAGATTAAAGCTATGAGGCAGGAGCGCCTGGGTGGCTCAGGGATTAAGCATCTGCCTTCAAATCAGGATCTGATCCTGGGGTCCTGGGATCAAGCCCCATGCCGGGCTCCTGGCTCAGTGGGGACCCTGCTTCTCTCTCTGCCCCTCCCCATTTGTGCATTGTCAAATGAATAATAAAATCTTTTTTTTTTTCTTTAAATAATAAAATCTTTAAAAAAAGCTATGAGAGAGGGGCTCATAGAGCAGGAGACACAGGCTCTGTGAGTATACAGGGGTGGGGGAGGGAGTGCGGGGGCGGCACCATGAGGCCGCAGGGTCAGGGCATGCCCTAGACAGAGACTCCTCAGGAATCTCTCACCCCCGTGGCTCTGGGTGTGCAGGGCGAGAGCATCTGAGCTGCCATCCACAGCATGGAAGGGGCCCCAAGGAAGGGGCAGCTGGCGTGGGCGCAGGCCTCCCAGCCTCTGCTGCTGCCAAAGTGAAGCCATCAGCATGTGCTCCTGGTCCTTCAACAGGACCCCAGTCAATTAGCAGCTATGCTCAGTAAACCTGGGGATAACCACTAACCAGCTAGAGACCAGAAGCCGTGCGAACAGCCAGAAGAGTGCGCCCTCCGCAGAGTTCCTCTCATCAAGGTGGAATCCCATTCCCAGTCTCCTGAGCTGCCCAACCCCTGGCCCCAGGGACCCCAGTGCTTCGCTCAGCCCTCCTCAGGGTTCAGGCAGCACCTGCTGAAGTCTGGCCTGGAGGACAGCCTGACACATCCCCTCCCTCTGAGTCTGCCCTAGACACCCCACAGCTACTGCACTCCCCTGACTGTGCCAAAGCCCCACCAGCGGACGCAAGAGGCTTAGTGTCCAGTCAAAATGCAGACGGGCTGCTCTAGGTTCACATCCTGACTAAGCCAAGGATTTAGAGGACAGAGACGGGGTACATGTGGAAAATATCCCCCCAAGACACAGCCATTGGCTGGGCCAGGCAGCCCTGACTTGGTCCCAATTCACCTTGACAAGGTCATCGATGTTGATCTTGCCGTCCTTGTTTTCATCCAGCGCGGAGGCCAAGCTGATGAGCTTGTTTTCTGGAATGTGCTTGATCTGCTTCATGGCACTGATGAGCTCAGCGATGCTGATGACAGTCTCCCTGGGGGTTGGGGGGGACAGAGCCTGCCTGTGGCACAGCCACACCCACAGCCCCACCAGGCCTCCTAAGGGTCAGCCTTAACCCAGGCAACCCTCCCTCCAGAGCTCCCCAGCCCCTGCCTTTGGGAATTCCCACCCAACTTGGACACAAACCTAGAATTCTTCCTTTGGTCCCAGGTCTCCCTGGGCACTGCCCCCCAGGAAGCCTTTCCACTGCTGAGGACAAAGCCTCATGGTTCCTGGGTAGTGGTCCTCAGGCCTGTGTGTGTAGTGGCCTGGGGGGCAGGGGCCGAGTATGGCTGTGCTGCCCTCTGACCGAGGAGGGCAGGTGGGCTGAAATAATGACACAGCCCAGCAGGTCAACTCAGGAAGAGCACGGACCTCGTCTGGAGGTGAAGGCCCCCCAACTTGGGGACAGCAGGAAGTCTGCAGCCAGCCCTCCTTCCCTCTTAGAGATGCAGGCACTCAGAGCACAATGCCCGGCCCATAGGAACACTGGTAGCAGCCCGACAGCTCCTCACTCACACGATGACCTCCAGAGTGGTGGCAACACTGAGCGCCTATGTGTAGGGGCTTCAGGAAGAGAGGTGGCAGGGGATGGTCCAAGGGAGCTATATCCTAGGCACATTCTGGAAGGACCAGCTTGATGGCAGTCTGGGGACAGATGTGGCCTATAGTGCCTGGAGAGTAAGGGTTGGGGGCGGGGAATAGTGGTCCTGACATTGGCCAAAGTGCGCATGTGTGTGCCTGTGTGTATGCGTGCGTGTGCATGTGTACATGTGTGCATGTGTGCGTGTGTGAGCAGAAGAGAGGACCCCAAGAGCTCCTTCAGTAAAACAGTTAGCGACAAGTGGAGACGGAGATGGGGCTAGGCTTCTGGCTGGAACCATGGGGTAAAAGCTCAGGGCTTGGACACTAGGGCCAACAAGTGCAACTTCATCTCCCAGTGCCCAGCATCGGGGCCACGCTCACCCTGCAGGTGGCTGCTCGGCGGTGGGACCCAGCCTGCCAGCCTCTTGGCCCGCCTCCAGCTGTGAAAGCAGGCTATCGATCTGCCCGATCATCTGCTGCACCCTCTTTGTCAGCCTCTTGCTGGCTTTCGACTCCTCTACATAGATTTCTTCGCCGGTCTTCGAAAGCTCCTTCTGGATCTCTTGCAAATCCTAACGAAATTATGGAGTCGTAAAAGATTGTCTTTAAAACAATAAAATAAAAAGGACCCATACAACTGCTTACCTCGTAGAAGTAGTTAAATTAACCCAAAGGTAATAAATTCCAGGTTGCAAATTGAGCTGCACAATCGTGTCTGCACCTTTCGTACAAATCACTTGTTTTTGCAAACTCAAATATGGTCTGTGTTGCAAAGGAAATAGTATCTATGTGAAGCTCAACTTTCTTTATATTTGTTAAAAGAATAAATAGATGGATGAAAAAATTGGGGAATAGAAGATGCCTTCTTAAATCCCAAGTCATGACCGTCCTCATAAGCAGGCACTACAGGGAAGGATGGAAGGTGGGGCTGGGAATGAGGAGAAGGGCTCAGCATTTCTGGTGAACCCCAGATTTCCAACAGAGAACCACTGTGTCAACAGGCCTGCCATGAACATGGCTGATTATTTTCACCAATCTCAAAACTAGTCATCTTTTCCCAATGGATCTACGAAAACATAGTTCTTTCATAAAGTAGGCTCCACAGCTCCTATGGGGCTGAAGCTCATGACCCTGAGATCGAATCACACACCCAACTGAGCCAGCCGGGCGCCCTGAAACAGCGCTTTCAAATCAGATTTGGAAGTAACATTTATAAAACAGACAGGTTTTCCTTTAAAAAACGAACAGGGCACCTGGGTAGCTCAGTGGATTAAGCCTCTGCCTTTGGCTCAGGTCATGATCTCAGGGTCCTGGGATTGAGCCCCACATCGGGCTCTCTGCTCAGCAGGGAGCCTGCTCCCCCACTCACCCCTCTCTGCCTGCCTCTCTGCCTGCTTGTGATCTCTGTCCAATAAATATATAAAAAATCTTAAAACAACAACAACAACAACAAATAAATCAATAAATGAAAAAAGTTAGTGTGTAAGAAAGAAATGTCTTCCGGGGAAACATGACTGCAACGAGGATTTCATTTATCAAGCGACTAGACTGCTGGTCTGGTCCCTTCATGGGCCTATGGACTGCCAGGGTAAGCAGCCCATGCCAGGAGCAAAGAGCCCGGGCACTCAGCTGCACAGAGACCCCTGGCTGGCCCAGAAGGGGGCAGAGGACATCCCCAGGACACTGCCGCCCACCTCGCTGTAGTCCTGCACATCCTCCTTGAGCAGCTCCAGCTCTTCCTTCTCCTTGGTCAGGGACGACTTCTGCTCTTTCAGCTTCGAGCAGGCATTGCTGAGTATGTCGATCTCCTCTTTCGTTATTTCCTCTTCCTGCAAAGAGGACACACAAGCGCCCTAACAGAAACCCGGCTAGAGGAAAATCATTACTGACCCCCCACCTCCAGAGTACTCAGCAGCTCTTCTGTCCACACCATCTGCTCCTGCTGTGCACACAGAGGCCAGCAGACACACGCACAGTCCCCATCCTTGCCCCCACGTGCCCAGGTGTGCCTGTGCCACCACGCATGCAAGCCCGGGACACCATCACCAACTGACAGAGACCTGTTGGCCACCCAAAACCTTTCTGTGCCCAGGCTAGCTCAGAGCTGCTCTCCCGCAGCTCAGACAAATACATCCCAGACGGTGAGCTCATGCATGTAGGACGTCGTCCCCTGCCTCACTGGGAGCCCCCCGCCCCCCACCTCTGTGTTGTCCTGGGCCTCCAGGGGCCGGACAGCTTCCCAGCCAGAGCACAGACCAAATCTGCTCCTCCACCACAGGCCATCCTAGCTCCTCTCAGTCTGCACGCATGTTCTAGAACAAGCCTGCCCACTTCCACACCAAGCCTGCTGGGATGCTGATGGGTCCAGACATGGGCATCAGCGGCAGAATGGACACCTCACGAGGACCCCAGCACACACAAACGCAGAACACCCGTTGGAGGTAAGGAACCTCAGCGACCCCTCAGCATTTGGCGGTACAGCGCAGCTGCGATACTGTCAGACTCAGCCCAGGGGCTCCCTGCAGGGACCGTCCGCCATACTGAGACTGCCGTTCGCTTGCTCATCAACGGCCCAAAGAAGCGGCGATCATTTTCGGCTGCTCACACCCTCTGCAGACAGGCAGTTTCGCTCCCCCCTTCCGACTGTGTGCTCTCATTCCCCTCCTCTAACTGTGCTGGCCAGAACCTCGGCACATTGCTGAACGGGGCAGCGAGTGCGGACGCCAGGGACCGAGCGAGCTACAGCTATTTCCACAGATGCTCCCCGTCGGGTGAGAGTGTTCTCCTCGACTCGCTCACTGGGAAATTTTTTTTTTTTTTTTTTTAATCAGAACAGATACTGGATTCTGTGAAGTGCTTTTTCTGCATTTATCGAGATGCTCATACGTGGTTTTTCTCTTCATTCTGTCAATACGCTCGTTATACTGACTGTTGTTTTGTATTCCCTGGACAAGCCCCAGGAGATCACGATGTATTAGCCTTTTCATAGAATAGCTGCGTCTGATTTGCTAAGAGTTGGTTCAGAACTTGTACATCTGCGTCCCAAAAGATACGGCTGTGCAGTGCTCTCCCAGCAATCTGGTACTGGCATCAGCTAACGCCCATCTCAGGAGGAGCTGGAAACGGCTCCCCTCTTCGGCTTTCTGTGAACACTCTGTGCACTGAAGGATCTCCCTAGAAACTTGGGGCCTGTGAAGCCACATGGGTCTGGCTTTCCCTAGGCTTTCAGCCACAAGCTCAATGTCCTTACCCGAGGGAGAGCCTATCAGGCTCTCTGTGCAGCCCCAGCAGATGGCCAGGACAGGTAAAACCTACGACGTCGCACTGCAAATGGGGACGGAGGCACTTGCTTTTCTCACTCCTTACAGTAACTTTCCAGGGAACAAAGGCTTGTAGCTGGTCAGTTTTGTAAAGGTTTGTGTTTCTTGCTAAGAAATCCTCACCAAACCTCAGTTCTTCTGACCGGTCTAATTGCCCTTTCACATTATCCATTGGAAAAGGAATGCATCTGTTTCCATGAAGACAGTCACTGTCCCAGCTCTATTTAATGACAAGTGCCCCTTCTTCCCGAGCTGCATTCTATGGGCCCAGCAGGGCTCCATCTCTGCTCAGCTGTCCATTTCCCAGCCTTCCACCCCCTTAAAAATGACCCTGACCCCTCCCTGAGTCACCCTTTGAGCCCAGCTTGGTCCCAGATTCCTGGGACCCTATTCCTCCCAACCTCCTCGATGTGTCCTTACCAGCACATCTGTTTCCAGAACGGCCCTGGCCTCCCACCTCGCAAGCCTGTCCCACCCACCTTCCTCCACCCAAACACATGGCCTCTGAGGACCACAGACCGTCTTAGGCAGCCGCACCAGCTCGGATCTGCTACCCCGAGTCTTCTTACAACAGCGGTCTAGATCCTCCCTGAGACCAGCTCTTCCTGCTGCCTGCCGCAGTGGGGCCTTCCTTCCCCACGGGCCTGGAGAAGGCTGGCGTTCCCCCTCCACCCGGCAGCTCCACCCTGAGACACCCACAGGGGAGCTTTTCCTTCCAGCTCTGCCCCACAACTGCTCCTACTGAGCCACGGACGACCTCACCCTCCCCATTAGGGGTCTGTCTTCAGGCCTCCCCCACCCAGCCCTCAATGCTCCTGATGAGGCCCACCCTCCCCTGGAAACAACTCCCCCCACTAGGTATAGACATGCTGAGAGCCCAGTGGTTCCTCTACAGCCTCGTCTCTCCTCCAGCCTTCGAACGTGGAGGCCACCGTGTCCCGGCCCCTCTGGGACCTCACTTGAATTCCCCCCGCCCCCCACCAACACGAATCCCCGGCCCTGGTCTCTCTCCTACTCCAGCTGCCAAACCGACATTGCCGTCTGTCTGTAGAGACTTCCCATACCCGACACCTGGCAGTTCCAGACAGAAGGGGTCCCACGAAGGAAGTGGCTACCACCTGGACAGTCAGACCCCAGTATCCTGCTAGGTGCCCAGCACATCAGGCTGGGTGGGGATCACACCAGCTCCCCTTCCTTCCCACTGTGCAGCCACTGGGAGGACAGAGGGTCCAGGGGGCCAAGCACCCGGCACCTCCACCTTCCAGCCACTCAGGCCCAGAGTTGGGAGCATAGCTTGCTGTTCGCACAGCAACCTGGGCCTCCTGAGAACACCTCCAAGCTGCGGCCTCACCCCTTACCGCCCCCACGACCATCTGCTGTCACCCTGAGCCAGGCTACGGTGCCTCTGGAGCCCCCGCCCCACAAGCCAGCCCCCTCTTCACCCTCCTGTTGGGTTCCAACATGGCCTGCCTTCCGGGCCTGCGTGCACGGTTACCTTCAAGCCTTCTAGGACAGGGGCCATGTCCTTCAGGGCCTCTGACGGTAGGGTCACCTCAGGCACTCCGGGCTGCAGCTCGGCCGCAGGCCTCCCAGGGGCAGCCTCTGCCGCCACTTCTGGCTCCACTTCCTTCTGAAATGCAAGGCCACTGCCGGCTCAGCACCAAATGGCACCCCAGCTGCTGTCCTGGAGCGTCAGCGCCAGCACAGACCAAGGGCGCATTGTCAACAGGCCGGCCGCGCGCCAGTGGAGGTTTTCATGAAAGCCCGGCAGCCAGCGTTGGGGGGTGGGGGTGTCTCCCACAAGGTGTCCCCGCCAGGCTCTGATGGGCATGTTCCACGACTCACGCAGCTGTGCACTGGCACTCGCCAGGTCCATGGAGGCTCCCGTCAACACTACCAGCACCTACGTCCATCCTCAGTCCTTCCCTGACAAGTGCACGAAGTTGCCCCATGGCCTCCAGAGCAAATACACCCATTGCCCGGGCCGGGGGGGCCCAAAGAGAACATGGGCACTGTGCTGCCCCTCTGCCCATTGGTGGAGCCAGCCACACTGGGCGCTGGCACCCGGGCCACTGGAGAGGCAGCCAATCCCGTCCCCTGGGCACTCCAGGCAGAAGACAGGAGACGGGCCACAGGGACCCTCTCGACGTGGTTCCACAAACAGCTTCTAGAAAAGCTGGAGCAGACAGCCTTAGCCTGTCCCAATGCTCCGTGTGGCTCCCGCACTGCCCAGGCAGGCAAAGGGACCTGGCGGTCGCTTACCGCCGCATCGGGGCGCCGCTGCAGCTCCTTCTCCAAGTGTTCACGCCGGATGGCTGCCTCCTCCTGCAGCGTGGCCTCCAGCTTGGCCTTGTTGTCCACCTGCTCGCCTTCCACTTCAGCCACCTTCACCTGGGCCTCCTTAGCCTGCACAAAAGGGAGACTATGAGAGGATGTCTGTGGCCTGAGGTACCCCCACGGCACCCCCAGACCACCTGCACCTGGACTCCCACTTGGGAACTCCGTCTGCTGGACATGCTGCGAGGCGGCTGAGGGGCACCTTCTGTGCGACTGTCACAGGAACCCTCAGCATCAGAGTGGACTGACGAGACAGTGTGGGGAGCATCCCCAGAAGTGAGAGGGCCCCCCACCTTCCAGAGCAAGCCACAGATGCAGTCTCCTGGCACACATACCACGATCTCTGGGAGCGTCTGCAGTGTGGACTTGAGCTGGTCGGCGGGCGAGAGGGTGTCCGGGAGGTACATGGCCCGGGACAGGATGAGCAGGGACGTCGGGATCTCCTGGTGCAGGTGCAGCTCCAGCCACTGCAGTTGGGGGAAAAGATAGGCTCACCTGCTGGCCGCCTCCCACCGGCCTCTCCTGGGACCTGGACCCTGGGATCTTTTCTCTTCCGGTTTCATGGCGGAGGGGGGCTGGAGTAGATGGACGCACTAGCTCACTCAAGGAAGGGCTCCCCAAAAACAAGACTCCTCGGTTTCTACAAAGCCCACCTATTCCTGCCTCTTACAACCTGATGCCCTCCTCAGCCAACCAAGCCTGAGATGCCCCCAGGGTCGTGAATGAGCGGAGCACTAGCAGCCTGGCCACTAGGCTCAGAAAGCATAGAGTGTGGCGACCACACACTCTGTTAATGAACTGCTTCATTTACTAATTTTTTAATTTTTATTTTCCTTTTTTTTATGAGGTGGGGCAAAGTCCCAAATGGGACTCCATCTCGACCCTGAGATCACGAGCTGAGGTGTTGGCCGCTCTGCCAGCTGCGCCACTAGCCGCCCTAAAGCTCTTCACGTCCAAGCGCCACAGATGCTGCGGGGTCAGCAGCTGTGGTCTCAGAAGGCTCTCAGGGCTCTGCTGGCCCCGTGAGGGCTAGGCACTGTTGGGAGGGGTGTTAGTGACAGAAGGACAGCGTTCAAACTGACCAGACCAACACAGGGTTTGTACACAAACTGTACACAGGACAGAAGCTTAGACAAAACGGAGGACCCATGACCAGGGAAACCCACAGACTTGGACTTGCAACAGCGGCCCGCAAGCACACGTGGCCAGCTGTGCTCAAGGAAGGCTGCCCGGGGAAGACACAGGGGGACTCAGCCTGTGGAGAAGCTTCCACTAGGGGACCCACATGCTCAAAAGTGCATGTGCTGAAAGAGGAGAAAAAGGTGTGGACACGTCTCTGTCTACACGTGGAGGACAACCCCAGGGAGTCAAGTTGGGGGTGGAGAGGGGACGCAGCTGGCACTGGCCATGCCATGCGTTAGGTCTTCTGATGTGACAGCTCAAGGGCCGTGGATGTCCCCTTCCAACCTCTAACCTACGCAAACTGATGCCAGCTGCAGACCTGGGCTCTGGATGCGGACCAAGGGCCCTCTGAGCTGCAGGAGAAAGCACAGCAGAGCCAAAAGAGACGCTCAGGCTGGGCTGGCCTGGGTCCTAGTTACGCAGAAGGCCCTGGCCTCATAAGTTATAAGGCAGACTGGGATTTTAAGGGAGGTTAACCGAGTCCTCATCTGTCCACACAGGACCAGAGTGGGACAGTCAGGATGGGAATATCAGCCAGGAGTGAACACACCGGTACGTGAGCACACGACAGAGCCAGGCCACTGTGCACCCTCGTCCAAGTCCAGCTGCCCCTGGAGTTTGGGGGTGTCTTTCCACCACAAGCCCATCTACACTGGCCGGACACAGGCAAGCCCTTTAGCCACATACCTGCTTCAGTTGGTCTCTCAGACGGTCCTCTGTGACCCCGAGGGCCCGCATGCCTCGTGCCCGACATGCCGACTGCAACTCCTTGACATTCAGGCTGTCCACCCCTTCCTCGGCGATCAGCTGTAATGGAAAGTCAACTGAGCCCATGCGGAAAGGTCACTCCAGGGTTATGTGTCCCGTCAGACGCGCTCCTGATATGCCTCGCCGAGCACAAGACGCACCAGAACCACCAGGGCCTCAGCTGGGGGTCTGCAGGGACCAGAACTATCTGACAGAAGGTGGGGATTCAGGAGGCACACAGTGGCCAGGACCCCACCTCTGCCCAGGCCCTGCTCGCCACGTTTGACGGCCTCTTCCTCCTCTTCCTCAGGGTCGCCCCAGCTTTCCTCCCCATCCCCCATGGTCCTCCAGCCACAGGGGAGAAAGGATGGAGAGCAAAGTGATGCCAAACTTTTTTTTTTTTAATTTATTTATTCAACAGACAGAGATCACAAGTAGGCAGAGAGGCAGGCAGAGAGAGAGAGGGGGAAGCAGGCTCCCTGCTGAGCAGAGAGCCCGATGTGGGGCTCGATCCCAGGACCCTGAGACCATGACCGGAGCCAAAGGCAGAGGCTTAACCCACTGAGCCACCCAGGTGCCCCTGATGCCAACCTTCTGAAGAGGTCTCCTGGCCTCAGCCCAACATCAAGGGGACCCAAGTGAGAAGAGCGAACCGGAGTCCTCGTCCCAGAGGCCCCCTCGGCTGGCCCCTCTCGAGTCTCCCAATGACCGTGAGGCGGACAACACCGTGACTCCCCTTCTCTGAGGTAAGCTTTCCATTCTGAGAGGACTGGAGACCAACATGCAAATGTGACAGCAGCGTTTCTGCCAACACTAAGGAAGCACAATGCTGACAGTCGTAGCTGGCATGGTGACACCACACCAAGCAGGAAAGCCTCCTGCCCCCAGGGGGACTGTGTGCTTTCACACACTCCCACCTCCTGAACCCCTGGCAACCTCTCCCCTGCTCCTTGTTTCCAGCACACGTGCAGCTTGCCACAACTTCCAGGACATCCAGGAGGACACGGAACCTGCTCATCTGTAAGCAGACAGCCCTGTGCCAGAGACCGTCCTGCTTTAACCACTCTCCCACTCACATGTAGCTGGATCTCTTCAGTTTGGGGTTATTAGGAAAAAGTGGAGTCTCTGTTTTCATTTTCCCCATCTTCCCGTGGGTTCCACAGTTCCATGTGGACTTGTGTCCCATGCCTCTGAGTCCCACCTCCTTACGGGGCACACACAGAGGTCACTCACTGTCCACATCCTCGTCCTAGTCCCGGCGACATGTAGGAACCTCAGCCCCCAGATGACCCTTGACCTCTCCCACTCACGATGCACTCATCTCAACAACTCCTCCTTCCATGGAGAGCCACCTTGCACAGCCCCGTCGTTTCTGCTGTGACCATTAGCACTTCACGTAGAAGGTAGACGAGAAGGGAAGTCTACTGGGTTTACCTGTGTTTGCTTGCCATGTTCTTTCTTCCTCATGGGCCAGGCCTTCTCCCGTCACAGCTGACCCGTGACCAACATGGGCTTAAATTGTGCAGGTCCACTCACACTCGGGTTTTCTCGACAAAGGACAGCACGGGAAATGTCCTTTCTCGTCCTTACAATTTTAGTAACATTTTCTTTTGTCTAGCTTACTCTATTATAATATAGCACACAATACATATTACACACAAAAGAGGTCTTTGCCAACTGTTTATGACATCACTAAGATTTCTGGTCCACAGGAGGCTCTTAGGTAAGTTTTTGGGGGTCAGATGTCACACACTGTGGCTTGGCTGTGCCACTTGCCTGCCTACCACCAAGGGACACAGAGGCAGGAGCTCCCTCCAGCTGTGTTTTTAATGGAGTCAAATCCCATCTTGAGCATTTTGTTTTCCTTCTCTGAGAACACAGCCTGAAACACTACAGAGCTGAGGATCATATAAAAGATGCGTTTGTAAACATCACACAGTTTTATATACATTCACTGTGTGTTTCTGCTGCCTTCTACGTAATTTACTTCGTAACACATTACCACCACTCGTAAATAACTTCTGTACGGTAACACCACTGCAGTTATGGATAAAGAGACTAATCAAAAAGAAAAGTTACATGCGGATTTTCACCTGTGTTGGGGGGATGCAGGGTCCAGAGTCCCTAACTCCCACATCATTCAAGGTCTATGTCCCTTCCGATTACAGCTCCTCCTCCAGGCTGAGGGCAGAGGTGCTGGTGGTGAAGTTCTCTTAGTTTTCCTTCTTCTGAGAATGTCAATCCCCACCACCCCCTTACAGAATATTTTCACTGGGAACAGGCTTCTGAATTGGCAGGGTTTTTTCCAGCAAGTGAACAATATTGCTCCACTTCCTTCCAACCCCTAGTTTCCACAGAGCACCTTCCCTGTGGGCCAGACACCATTCTAATGCTGCTGTTGAAATCAGCGATCTTCAGTGTTGTTCCGTTTGACAATGACTATCCTCCTGTGGATTTCTTTTTTTGTTTTGTTTTGTTTTTTAAATTTATTTATTTTTTATTTTTTATAAACATATATTTTTATCCCCAGGGGCACAGGTCTGTGAATCGCCAGGTTTTCACACTTCACAGCACTCACCTCAGCACCTCCTGTGGATTTCTTTGGGTTGATCCCACCTCAGGTTCACTCAGCTTCTAAAATTTGTTGATTCAGGTATTTTACTGAATCTGAAAAGAGTTCAGCTGTTATATCTTCCAGCACTTTCCTGGCTCTGCCCTTCCTCCTCTCTTTCCAGAACTCTGACAAGTATGTGAGATGCTTTCCTTTAGTCCCCACAGGCGGCTGAAGCCCTGCTCATTTCTTTTTTTTAAGATTATATTTATTCATTTGTGAGAGAGAGAGAAAGCACACAAGCAGGGGAAACAGCAGGGGCAGAGGGAGGAGACTTCCCACCCAACAGGGAGCCTGACATGGAACTCAATCCCAGGACCCTGATATCATGACCTGAGCCAAAGTCAGTTGCTTAACCGAGTGAGCCACTCTAACGCCCCCCAATGCTCATTTTTTTCAACTGTTTTCTCAGATGTTCAGATGGGTGATTTCTATTGTCTGATCTTAAAAGTTCACTGGCCCTGTCTTCTGTCCTTTCCCTTTTGCTATATAAGGGACCTATTTTGGATTTTACCTTTCACTTCTAAATTTCCATTTAGTGGGATGCATGGGTGGCTCAGTCGGTTGAGCATCTGACTCACAGTTTCGTCTCAGGTCATAATTTCGTGGTCATGGGACTGAGCCCCACACTGGGCTCCATGCTCAGGGCACAATCTGCTTCAGGTTCTTTTTCCTTCCCCTTCTGCTCCTCCCTGCTCATGCTTGCACTCTAAAATAAAATCTTTATATGAAAAAAGAATTCCATTTGGTTTTTCTCCATTTTCTTTGCTAAGACTCGTCTTGAACGTGGCTACGGGACAGCAGCTGCTTCACAATTCTCATCTGGTGTCTCACGTCTCTGCTGTCTCCATGGCTGCCTTTTCTCATTCACTCTGAGAGCCTTCAGTTCTTCTTCTTTTCTCTCTCTTTTTTTTTTTAAGATTTTATTTATTTATTTGACAGAGAGATCACAAGTAGGCAGAGAGAGAGGGGGAAAGCAGGCTCCCTGCTGAGCAGAGAGCCTGATGTGGGGCTCAATCCCAGGACCCCGAGATCATGACCTGAGCTGAAGGCAGAGGCTTAACCCACTGAGCCACCCAGGCCCCCCCTTCCTTTTATGGAAAGATTTTAATCTCTCTCTCTTTTTTAAAGCTCCCCATGGATCCCAGTGTAGGGCTTGAACTCACAACCCTGACATCAAGACCTGAGCTGAGATCAGGAGTTGGACGACAGGTGCCCCACGAGGAGTGGTTTTCACGAAGAGTGGCTTTCACTTTAAACCCAGACATTTTAGGTATCGGACAGGAGACCCTGGATCTTGTCTCGGTATTCAATCTTCGCTGGCCCCCTCGGACACCACTCCAGCATAGGAGTGGCATGTGACATTATAACCAACTTTGACAGATTTTGCAGTTTGTCTGGCCATCTACTGACCAAACCAACAAGCCTACGTGGCTTCAGTCTCCCCCGTGGCCTGGCTTTCATGGGAATGCAAGAATCCTGTTTCAAACCCTCCAACCACAAAGCCCTAGCCACTCCTCCCATGCGAGGACTAAAGGCCAAGCCCCAGGTCCTCCCTCGCTCCCGTTTCCTAGTTCCCAGGTGTGGCAAGGTCTCATCTGGCCCTCAGTGGGGGCTCTGCCTCCATTTCTAGGCCAAATGTGAGTCATAAGCTCCCTTGACGGCTGACCTCTCTGGGTTAGCTCTCGGTTATATATATATATATTCCAGCCTGGAACAGGCTGGGTGCCAGCTCATTATTGCCAGGCCCCCATTCAGCCTCCACTGAGTCCCAGGGGAAGCACCTCTGTTTCTGCTGGGTAATGGGGATTCGAGATCCGGTCTTCCACCAGGGCTCTCCATGCCTCCTGGGCTAGGAGGAGCAGGTGGCCCAGCTGGCTCTGGACACCATCCCAGCGGGATGCAGGAGGAGCCTTGGGAATGGTCAGGTGGAGGTGGAGGAGGAGGTCCTGGCCCCTGCTGGCCTGCTAACACTACGCCCGGGTGAGCAGGGTGGCTCAGCACCATCAGCCGGCCTTCCTGGACATCATCCTGGCTGTGACATCCTCACAAAGGCGGAGGTCTCAGCCCTCAGCCAGCAGTACACATGGTGGGGGTGACAGCATCTCCCTTGGGGTCTGGCTGAAGTACAGAAGTTACTGCCCCAAGTCCCCTGTCCTTTGAAACAGCTCCTTTCCTGTCCTCTGGCCAGACAGAGCATGCTTCTGTTAGGGGTTTTTTTGTTTACTTTTTTTTTCAAAAGATTTTAATTTTAAGTCATCTCTACGCCCCACATGGGGCTCCAACCTAAAGCCCTGAGATCAAGTGTGACACGCTCCAGCGACAGAGCCAGCTGGTGCCCCCGTCAGAACTCTGAGGTCTGCACGCATGAGCACCTCTTTATCTCTTCAGCCCTGAGGTACAAAGACCGACCTGGTTGGTCCTGAGGTCCCACGGTCTTCTCAAACTTCTTGTGTGTTCGTCACTGAACATCAACACCCAGGGGAAAGGAACCCCATTCCACCTTCCTGACGGTGGAGGTCCAGCCGCTGTCCTACGTTACAGGACTCTGAGGCACTGAGCAGTGGGATGACTTGTCCAAGGTCACAGAGCAAGCAAGTGGGCAGGACTCAACCCCAGGCCACCTACCCTTGAGTTGCCTCTCCCCAGGTGGGGTGGCAGAGACTGAGGGCAGCCACACCGCAGGCTGTCCTACGGCCACACTGTGGGCTCCTCCACAGCCACACAGCAGCCACACCCTGCAGGCTCCCCCATGACCACACAGCAGGCTCCCCCGCAGACACACAGCAGCCACAGCACAGGCCCCCCCAGTCACACGGCAGCCACAGTGCAGCCCCCGCCAAGTCACGGGGCAGCCACAGCGCGCTCTGCCAGAGTGGACGTCCAGAGCACCCTCCCAGACAATCTGCACCGTACTAAAGAAAGGGTTTCTTTTCAGTCTCACAAAAATGCAGATACTTTGCTACTTCTAGCTACAAGGAGGAGCCAACTATCACCGGACCCACACCCCTGCTGAGAGCTCCTAGAAAAGCCAGATGAAACACATAAATGCACACCCGGTGGCATCAGAAAGCTAACACGATAAGGGCTCAGGGACAGCGAGATGATATGCCTGGAAAGGCCAGGCAACCACAGAGGTGTGGGCCCTCCATCTGTGAACCCCTGGGGACGCGGCAGCATCTGCTGACTCTTAGTGCAGACTGAGAGGCCAGTCCCAGGGCCACAGCTAAGAAGCACAGACATCTCACCAAGCTAAGATGACAGCTGGAAGCGAAAGGTTGCTTGGTAGACAGGCCTTGAGGGCCGCTGCCCAGGGAGGAGGAAGGGTGGGAAAGAACCCTGGTATCAGGCTCTCTAGCTGAGCAGCATAAAGGCGAGGAGCTGGGCAGAAACTCTTCACAAAGCAGAGGGGCCTCCAGGGCCCTGCTGTGCAGGCAGCACTATAGGTAAGGGCCGCGGTGGGGCTGTAGGACGACCAGCCCTGATCGCGCCCCAGGTGACCAGACCCTCAAGACACCTGGGTGGGCCCCTCCGGGAGGATGACGGCAACAGCTGGAAGCTCGGAAACTTCGCACAGACATGTCTGCGTTCAGGAACTAGACACTGCAAATGCACAAGCCCAAGAAGATAAAACAAAACAAACAAAGACCTACAGTCCAGTTATCAGAATAATCAGACAGGAACTACGACGAGCTATTCAAGAAAGTGGAGCACAAGCGTTCTGGAGCAAAGACTGAACACCTCCGAGATGTGCCTAGAAAGCTAGGAGGACATCAGACGCCAGACACTGTACAGCAAGCACTGCTGGAGAAAAAGAAGGGTGTTTCAGGAGCTCGCGCCAAAAAAAGTGCACTGGAACCACAGGCAGGGCAGCCACTGGGATGCGGGCAGGCCAACCAGGAGGACACAGTGGTCAGCATAGCCCTGGGAGCAAGCTGGTTGTAGGCCACTCTTTTTATGAAAACTATCAAAGATCTGGAACAAAAATCCATGTTAAAAGATGTTTATTATAGTGCTGTCTTGGGTAGCAAAATATTAGCGAAAGTGATGGTTAATAAATTCTGATGCGTCCACGTAACGAAACATTAGGCAATCGCTGCCACTCATCCTTCTAGCAAACACTCAGCGACACGGGCAGGTCTCCTAACATCCTGCCAAGTGACTAGCTGCTGGCGGGATGGTTCCAGCGTGATTCCAGCAGACATGCACATGCTTTCAGTGTGCATGCACAGAGCACGGCAGGGGGCAAATAGCCACAACTGGGGAATGACAGGGCCACCAGAGCTTTAGAGTGAGGACATGGAAGGCGCCGGAAGAGGCAGAGCCGCGACCTCAGGCCACTCACCTTGTCGTCAGCCTTGATGGACCGCAGCCTCATGGTGAGCTGGAAACGCAGAAAGTTGTTGGTGCCAATGGACTGGAGCTCCAGCAGCTTGCACAGGGCCACCAGCTGCGGCCGAGTCAGGTTATCCAGGGTCAGCTCATCCTCAAACAGCTTGGAGAAACGCAGGATCTCCTCATTGCTGGGTCTCTCGCCAGTCTCTCGGATCTGCAGGAGCAATCATGTGGGTGAGCCCTGTGGGGGGGTGGTGCTCCCCAGTGCCACCCACGGACTTGGGTCACAAGCCTCAAGTGAAGAAACAAAGGAGGATAAGGTGAAGAGCCCCAGACCATGCACGCCCTCCCTTGGGTCCACCCTGTCATCACACTCCTACTGGGGAGGAGCCCCTGGAGGGCTCCAGGCCCTGAGCACAGCCAGTGCTAGCTCCCTGCAGACGAGGTCTCCAGGCAGCACATGGCTGCCGACCACCCTGCTCCTGCCCAGGCCAGCCAAACCAAGGCTGCTAACTGGCAAGAGGCTCCCACTGTGGATGTAGCTGGCCACCCCCAGCCTGGCCCTCCAGCGCGTCACTGCTGCAGGGTCTTAGTTCCTCATCTGCCAAACCCTACGTCCCCTGGGGCTGCTGCAAAGTCTGGAGACACCATGGCGAATGTCAGTGAGGTTCAAGTTCTCAAGACAGCAGGCTTGACCTCCCTGAGTACGGGGTCGGGGTGGGGCTCCCGGTCAAACCCCCTATGGCACCAGCCCACACCTGTCTGGGAGACCCACTCTTGCCGTGGGTGGTAGAGCAGAGGGAAGAAAGGAAGTGAGGTGTGCCCCCACGTAGGACGGGAGCGGCCCTGAGGCTCTAACCAGCATTCGGGACCGGTGGGCTGAGGCCACCAGGGCCCCGAAGCATCACGGCACCTTCTGGAAAAACACGGAGAAATCTTTGGTGGCGTTCCCCTTGGCTGCCTTATTCTTCAAGGCCATCTCCTCAATGGTGTCCTGGAGGAACTTGGCCAGCTCCAGCTTGACCCGCAGCTCCTTCTTCAGCCTCTCCTCCTGAGGGTCAAAGAGGGGGTGCTTCACTCCTCTGGCCTGCACCCCGGCACCTCCACGGCTTCCCTGGATAGCACCAGTCAGACCAGTTGCTTCCATTCCTCCAATGGAAACCCCCGCACGGAGTTCATGTTACTCCTCAACCCAGGGCCGCCCACATTTCCCTGAACAGCACTCACTCCCACCCAGGCGCTATGCATTCTGAGACTTTCTTTTCTAGTTCACAGTTTTAGAAAATATTTGTGTGGCCTCTTACAGCAGGGGTCGGCCAGTGATGCTTTGAAGCTTCATGGGCGGTGTGGCACAAAACCAGTCCCTGGCTGTGGGGGCAGCCGCCGCCAGCCCGGCCTACAGCAGGTTGGCCTTGCCCTCCACGGGGTCTCACCCGCACCAACAGCCTCAACCCGTGCCCTGAAGAGGTGGGCTAGAGAAACTGTATGTAAAATAGGTTTAAAGAGAAGCATCTCTGAAACCCATCCTTGACCCCTCACAACGCAGCCTGGCTGAGTGAAGGAGACACACAACACCTGAGCATCAGCCACGAACAGTGCAGACGTCGTAACTGCGTCCGTAGCCGCCCTGCCCTGAGTTCACCGCCCCTGTGGCCCCTCACCTTGATGGACTGGGTCTCAAACGTAGACGGCAACATGTTGGGGAAGAGCTTCACAGCGACAGGAAGCAGGAACTCCATGAATGGCACCACCACAAAGACCAGGAAGGGGACCAGGCGAAAGAGGTCAGCACATATCCGGAGAAACTGAGTAAAGGCGGAAGGGATCAGAGGGTGAGGCAATGTCATTGCTCACACGGCCGTCAGAGGCGCGACCACAGGCACCGCCTACCAGGGATCAGCGAGAGCGTGAAATTCCAAATAGCTCTACCGACTGCTCCTAAAGCCGGCTCTTCCTCCCGTGTCCAAACCATGGGAAGACAGCCTTCAGAAAGGAGGGCTGGAAGCTTGCCGTAGGAGCTGCCCCATCCCTTTGTGCCCTGCCCACTGGGGGCGGGGGGGTCCTGCTCAGCACAGATGGCCTGGCACAGCCATGGTACTGCCCACGGGCTTGAACGCCATGGGACAGGAGCGGCAGGCTGACGACCTGCCACTGCTGACACCAGCAAGGGCCACCAGGGAAGGCTGTGGCCACGCTACCCACCCCACATGGGCGGCAGAAAGGAAGAGTGCAGGTTGTATGTTTCTCCAGATAGCCTGACTTGAGCCTGCACTACACAGCAATGATCAGACAAACACCCAAGGGCTTCAACGACAGAAATCAACTACCACTGAAGCCATTAAAGAAATGCACAAGCTGAAATCCCCCGAAACCTGAGACGACACTCCCTACCAGGGCCCCAGGCAGCTCAGCCTTCTCTTCAGTCATGACCAGCCAACGACGGTCTACACTCACAACTCTCCAGCCTCCCAGGAAACAAAGGCACCCTGTGCACATATGTGCGCACTTCCACTGTCACGACCTGCTCTGTGCTCGTGAAGAGCAACATCGTTCCTAGAAATGGCTTTGTTTTGGCCTCATCTGACACTTCCGACTGGGCTCCAGGGGTACATCCCCAATGGAGCACGGCTCCCCGAGGGCTACAACCCCTCCCGGCCGTCAGGAGCCACCTGCCTCTTGATTGTCCTGCGTATAAGGAGGACACAGCAGGGGCTCTTCTCCCCAGACCAGTCTCTACTCTGAGGGTCACAGAACAGGGACCCCCAACCTAAACCTATCTCACTTACAAACCTCGCACATTCACTTTCCTATTTATTTTCAAAACCAACTGATGGATTCCTCTATTTTTTCATTTGTTTACAATTCATTACTGTTTTTTTGTTGTTTTTTTTTTAAAGATTTTATTTATTCATTTGACAGACAGAGATCACAAGTAGGCAGAGAGAGGCAGGCAGAGAGAGAGAGGAGGAAGCAGGCTCCCCGCAGAGCAGAGAGCCCGACGTGGGGCTCCATCCCAAGACACTGGGATCATGACCTGAGCCGAAGGCAGAGGCTTTAACCCACTGAGCCACCCAGGCGCCCCTCATTACTGTTTTTATTCTTATACTCAAATGGTCCAAAATTAGACCACAGAAAGACCCTTTCAGTTAAGGTGTTTTTTGACTTCATCCATTAATTTTTTTGTTAGTAGTTCTACTGAGGTTTAATTTGCATTCCACGACATTTACCACTGAGTGTGTCATTCAATGATTTTTGGGTAAATTTACAGATTTGGAACATGTTTGTTGTGCCGTAAAGCTCCCCATGTCCGTCTGCAGTCAAGCTCTGTTTCTACCCTTAGCCCGAGGCAAATAGTAAATTGACTCATTTCTATAAATTTGCTTTATTTGGACATTTCCCATTCGCGGAACAGTACAATATATTCTTTGGCGTCTGACTTCTGTCATTAAGTACATGAACATTTAGGAATGTTCTGTCCTTCTGGTGACTTCACCCCTTCAGCATTGTGAATGCAGGACACCAGGAATACTGTCCATCCCTGGTCATCTCTGCTTTGCAATTACCGCAGAACGGTGCTCACATGCCTGTGCCGGTTCTCTTCTGCCGTCAGCACCACTTCCCTTCCCCACTGTGTCACCTGGAATTTATCTGTGTCCTTACACTTAAGGGGTGTGTCTTGTAGACTGCACAGAGTTGGGTCTTGTTTTTTTATCCAACCTCATTATCTCAACCACCCAATTAATAAAACTGGGGAAAAAAAAAAAAAAAGGAAAACTGTAGGATCATCTAAACAGGTGTAGAGGGGCCTGGGTGGCGCAGTCAGTTAAGCAGTTGACTCATGATGTCGGCTCAGGTCATGATCTCAGGGCCGTGAGATCAAGCCCCATGTTGGGCTTTACAGTGTGCAAGGAGCCTGCTTGAGATTCTCTCTCCCTCTGCCCATCCCACCTCTCCTTAAAACAAAACACTCCATCACAACAAAAGATACCAGAACAGCGGACTTTGGTAAATCTGCAAGACACAAGATCAATACATAAAAATCGGTTGTAGCCCTGGGGGTGCCTGGATGGCACAGTCGGTTGAGAGTCCAACTCTTGGTTTCGGCTCAGGTCCTGGTCTCAGGGTGGTGAGATGGAGCCCCTCATCGGGCTCTGCACGGGGTGTGGAGTCAGCTTGGGTTTCTCTCTGTGTCCCCCCCACACTCGAGCACATGCATGCTCTTTCTCTCTCAAATAAATAAATCTTTAAAAACTCAGTTTTACTTCAATATATAGTAGACCCTGGAACAACACAGAGGCTAGGGGCAGCAAATCTCCCACCCAGTCAAAAATCCATGTATACATTTTGACTCCCCAAAAACGTAACTGCTAGGAGCCTCCTGTTGACAGAAAGTCTCAGTGAGGACAGAGCAGTTGATGAACACGCATTTTCTATGCTGTAGATTTCATCTGTTGTATTCTTACAATAAAGCCAGACAAAAGAAAATACTAAGAGAATGACGAAAGAACATTTGCAGGAGTACATATATATATATTTTTAAAGATTTTATTTATTTATTTGACAGAGATCACAAGCAGGCAGAGAGGCAGGCAGAGAGAGAGGAAAGGAAGCAGAGAGCCCGATGTGGGGCTCGATCCCAGGACCTGGAGATCATGACCTGAGCCGAAGGCAGAGGCTTTAACCCACTGAGCCACCCAGGCGCCCGTTCAAATATTTTTTAATATGTTTATACATTTATTTTAAAAATCCACATAAGTGGATCTGCACAGTTCAAACTTCTGTTGTCCAAGGGTCAACTGTACTAGCAATCGACAACTAGAAACTGAAATTTCAAAAAGTCTTTTTACCTACAAGAGCCAAAAGATGGAAGCACCAAGTGTCCGTGGACAGACAGATGGACGAATGGATGGAGAGACAGATGGATAAACAAAACGGACACACAATCCACACAATGGAATGTTATCCAGCCTTAAACAGGAAGGACACTCTGACACCTGCCCCCACTGGGATGGACCCCGAGGACACGGTACTGAGTGAAGTGAGCCGGTCGCCAAGGGATGACACTGTGTGACCCACTTACCCGAGGCCCTCAGAGGAGCCAGATTACAGGGCCAGGAAGTAGTGGGTGGGTGTCGGGGGTGGGGAGATAGTGTTTCATGAGGGGCAGAATTTCAGTTTGGTGAGATGGAAGAGCTCTGGAGACAAGGGTGGCCCCGCTGAACAGAGAGCCCGATGCGGGGCTTGATCCTAGGACCCTGGGATCATGACCTGAGCCGAAGGCAGAGGCTTTAACCCACTGAGCCACCCAGGCACCCCATTAAAATGGTAATTTTTGATTGTATATTTTGCCACAATAAAAAATTCCATTTATAATAGCACCAAAAAATATGACATAGTACAATATTGCTAAGAGAACTGTTTTACTCCACACTGGCCACCCCAAAAAAGTGCCCCCCCTTTGCTTATTTTCGAGTCTTTCCTTACTCTCTTTTTTAAAAAAAATATTTAATTTATTTATTAGACAGAGAAGAGAGACCGAGAGAGAGAGAGGGGGAACACAAGCAGGGGGAGTGGGAGGGGGGAGAAGCAGGCTTCCCGCTGAGCAGGGAGCCCCTAGCTCAATCCTAGGACCCTGAGATCATGACCTGAGCCGAAGGCAGAGGCTTAACGACTGAGCCACCCAGGTGTCCCTTCTCCTTACTTTCTGACACAGGCTCATCCCGTAGCACCGTTGGTGAGCTCTGTCTCCAAGAAGCCCCAGTTCCCCCTTGTGGGCCTGTTAGAAGCCAAGGGCTGGGTGCCGAGTGTGCTCACTGCTACTAGGCTGTCATGCCTGCCACACCTGGTCACCAGCTGAAGGGAGCAGGCGACTGGAACCGGTAAGAGTCTAACAAAGCTGAGAAACTGCGGTAATTCTCGATCATGTGTCTGCCATCAATGGCTAGACCAGCAATTTTGTTAGCCTAAGAGCATTGCGGCATGGTAAACATCAGGGCTCCAACATGCTCCATCTGAAGCCAGCACTTGGCGAGAAGGCTCTGGGAGGAAGAGCCATGAACACACTGGAGAGGCAGAGAACCAAGCCTGCCCGACAGCCCCCAGCTCCCCAGAGCCCCCGGGAGCCCACCAGCCAGGCCCTAGCTGCACTTCTCCACAGAGAGCTCTGCCAGATATCAGCCGCACGTGGTCCCGGCTGGAAAACCAGGACCCCGGGGCACCTAGACAGCACGGAGCTACATCGCCGAGCAAGAACGGAGGCCGAAGACAGCACCATCTCTGCCCGCACAGCTGCTCAACACATGGTCAACAGACACACGCTGCAACTCTGGACACACAACGCTACCTCGTGGTCCCTCCTGCTGACACTGCCACTCGGAGTCATTTCCGCAGGTAAGCCAGAGCTCCTGTGACAGGGCCAGAAGCGCTCCTTCCGCCAAACACGCAGGCCCACAGGACCCAGAGTCAGAACACAAAACAACTCTCCAGATACTTGTGTCACACAGGAACCCCAGACAGGTCTGTCACTCTCTGTTTAACAAGATAGGCAAGCATTCAACAGCTGCATGACCTAAATTCACAATTCAAATGTACCTCCTGCTTACACAACACTTACACAAATTATTCTACAATCTCTTTGCTTTTGTAAACATAATTTAAGTCACTTTTCTTTAATTATCAGAACTGCCAACGTTCTGTTCAAATTCAAAGTACCTATAGGACCCTAACCGAGGGAAAATAGCATTGCTCCACAGACCCTCTCCTTAATGCTGGCAATGGACAGACACGCCACCTCGGCCAAGCCCATGTCCACACAGGGACCTCACCCTGGGATGTGCTCATCTGCTCCAACTCTGTTTTTTCTTTTCTTTTTTTAAAATATTTTATTTATTTATTTGACAGACAGAGATCGCAAGTAGGCAGAGGGGCAGGCAAGGGGTAGGAGGAAGCAGGCTCCCCGCTGAGCAGAGAGCCTGTTGTGGGGCTCAATCCCAGGACCCTGGGATCATGACCTGAGCTGAAGGCAGAGGCTTTAACCCAATGAGCCACCCAGGCACCCCAACTCTGTTTTTTCTTAAAGTTTCACTGTCTTCAATGAAATAGCAAACACATGCACCTTTCAAGGCAGAATGGGATAGGGGCGGAGCAGAAGGGAATCCGAGAAAGCATTAACGTGTGCACTGTACTTGACATCCAGCGAGCACTAACAGTATGATTCTGGAATACCAGTGCCACTGCTCCTTCTTCCAGTCCTCAACCTGCCCCCTCCTAGAACAGCGTCCCAAGGGACACTCTAGCCAGTTAAAATGACCCACGTTCTCCATGAAGCTCCTGAGAACGAGTATAAAATCTGAAGCCAAAGTAACTCTCACACATGACAGCCAGTTCCTAAGATCCTCTGAAGGTCAACTTCAAGGGATCACCCGTCGCTGAACCTCTCCTTGGAGAATCTAAGGGTATGGAGAACATAAAGCTGCCCTTGCCCCCTGGGGACTCACCAAAAAAAAAAAAAAAAAAAAACAAGAGAGGAAGAAAGAAAAATCAACACTATAACCATCAGTTATTTCAGATAAGAGATCTAGAAAGTCTGGGCTCCTGGAAAAATAGGAAGAATCTTGTTTTAAGAGCCAGGGGATGGCATGGGGCACCTAGGGGGCTCAGTCAGCAAAGGATCTTCCTTCCAGCTCAGGTAGGATCCCAGGCCTGGGATGGAGTCCCGTGTTATTCCCACGCATCTGCTTCTCCCCTGCCCTCTGCACCTCCCCCTGCTCATACTCTGTCTAGTTCTCTAGTAAAATATTTTTAAGATTATATTTAGTTGGTTTTTTTTTAAAAAGATTTTATTTATTTATTGATAGAGATCACAAGCAGGCAGAGAGGCAGAGAGAGAGGAAGAGAAGTAGGCTCCCTGCTGAGCAGAGACCCTGATGTGGGGCTTGATCCCAGGACCCTGGAATCATGACCTGAGCCGAAGGCAGAGGCTTTAACCCCCTGCGCCAGTCAGGTGCCCCTAAGATTTTACTTATTTATTTGGCAGAGAGTGATCACAAGTAGGCAGAGAGGCAGGCAGAGAGCCTGATGCAGGGCTTGATCCCAGGACCCTGAGATCATGACCTGAGCCAAAGGCAGAGCCTTAACCCACTGAGCCACCCAGGTGCCCCTCTAATAAATAAAATCTTAACAAAGAAAGAGCTGGTGGATGGCAGAGAAAGCCAGTGCACTGAATGCCAACCCAGACGGCCAGGGAGCAGGAAAGCGGGCAGGTTCTGGAGCGGATGATAGAGGCACAAAAGCCTCTGGCAGAGGAGAAGTGCTGCCGTCAGCAGCATCTTACGGAGAAGTTTGCAGGTTATTTTTCCTGTGCTTTTTTTTTTTTTTTTTTCACACCAGAAGTGGCAGAAAAAAGCCTGGAATGTACGTTGAAGCACCAAGAAGGGGAAGCTGCCGGGAGCACTGGTTCCCCTTACCTGCCCGCACCTCTTACCTGCCTGTGTGCCCCTTACCTGTCTGCGCTCCCGGCGGGTCAGGCTGTGGCCGTGCAGGATTCGCCAAAGCATACGCGCCGCGATCTTGGTGTCGATCCACAGCAGGCGGAAGCCGTGGTAATAGTGCTTTAGCTCATCCACAACCCTCTGCCCCAGGGACTTCTGCACGGCCACCTCTGGTGGGGGGCTGTACACGGGGCCACCCTCCTCCAGCTTCTTGTTCTTGTCCTTTAGGGACTTGAGGGACTTCTCCACCACAGAGTCATCGCCCAGCGGGGCCGATGAGTGCCAGCAGCGCAACGGAAGGAACAGTGGCCCTGGGACAACCAGACTGGTAGAGGTGAGAGCCCATGGTGCTCTGGCTGCTGAGCACGTGCGCTCAGGCCTCAGAGTCCAGTAGCCACGGGGATCGGCTTTGAAGCAAAGGTGCACGGGGTGGACAGGAGTGCGGCAGTGAAATGGCACGATCCTTGTAAAGGAAGAAAGAAAAACAGTGATGAGGAGCCAGCCACAGTCCACAACCTCCCAGCACCACATGCCAATGGGAGCAACACAGACAAGAGCCCTATCACAACCACTCACACACTCAGCCTTGCCGGCTCATAAAACAGACTCCCCACTGCTTCCCAATGCCTGGAAACCACAGCAGGAAGAGGAGGAGCTACCTGCCAGGGGGCTTGTGTGAGAGACCAAAGGCAGCCAGTCCCCATGGACTCATGGAAGACACCAGGACACCAAGGAGTCTGGGCATGGGCTAGGGTCTGGGGTGAAGGGACAGGCTGGACACCCACAGTACAAGCCAGACCCTTGGCTTAGACAGACCCAACCTCAGGGAAGATCTCCCAGATGGGTTCCCAGAATTGGGGAGTCCAGGGTGGGACAGGGGTGGAGAGGGGGTGTCCTTTCCCCTAGCAGATGACTTTCTACAAAGACCTGCATTTCTTGAGCGAGTCCTGGAAGTCAGTGAGGACACCTGAATCAACGGGGCCCCAACCCTGTGTGCAGCCCAACAAAGATGTTTGTGCCAAATGCCAAAAACTTAACAAGTCACGTCCAGAGCCCACTCTTACCCTCTCTTCCCCATGCTGCTCCCGCTGCTCAGCCCAGAGCCTCAATTATAGTCCAGTGCTGGAGCAACTTACCTGCACGATTCTCAGAGCCCTACAATTGTCTATGTACCCCACCCATCTCACTAGAGACCTCCTCCCTTCCTGGTGCACAGACCCACTTCTGGGAGGCCACAGGCTCCAACTTAACCTCAGAGGCATGTGCGTACAACCAACACGCCCCAGCCTCTTCCCAGCTGCCGGATCATCTCACTGCACCTGGCCCAACGCCAGCAGTGAGGACCTGAGTTCTACAGCTGCCTGTCCCAGTCCAAATTCCAATCCACTGCTCATTGCTGTGAGACCTTGGGCAACATAATGAACCCCTCCGTGTTTCGGGAGCTTCCTCTGCGAACAGGTGTGGTAACACACACACAAAGTCTCCAGAGCCGTGCCTGGAACACAGCAACACCTACCAGAAGGGTGGCAGTGATGACTACCCTCCCATCAAAGCAGCTGAGCAGCAGCCGGTCAGGGCTGGAAGGAAGCTCTGTGAATGTCTAGACTAGATGCACCTTTTACAGACAGGGAACACCAAAGGAAAAACAGAGACGTGTCCATCTCAGTTCGCAGCCTGCATTAAGTGGGCACAGCTGGCACAGGGCACCACCAGCCACACACTGATCAAGCCCGCGCTGGTCTCCTGCCCGCCTGGAGGCCCCGTTCCCGTGTGCAGAGGGCAGGGTCAGTCCTGTGCCATGACCCCCAGATCCCCACAGTCAACGCTTGAGCAGGGAGGTTGGTGGCCTTGAGCCCACCCCGGTGCATCACAGCTCGCAAGAGAGAGGCTGCATGGAGCACAGCGGAGCTGCTCAGCCACATGGGGCTGTGGGACTGCAGCCACAGCCTGGGCCCTCTTGCCTCACCCTCACCTCCTAATGTAGGCGATGACAGTGCCCACACACAGTAATGAACCTTACCTCCCATCTCCGTCAAACTTAATTATCCAATTTTCCAACCCTCGATTAGCAAGGAAGCAAGCAAGTGGCTGCCACAAGAAGGCATGATGTCAGCAGCTGCAGGGGCAGCCAATAGGCAGAGACAGACTCGTGAAAACAGAGCATGCAGAAAAGCACCTGGCTTATCCAACTGGAGCCAGTGACCTCCAAGATCTGGCTATCTTCATGCACACTAGAGACTACTATTACTAACAATCTAGCCAGAAAGGTTTAGCTATTTTCCAAAAGCATAAAATTGCATAATCTGTTATTTTAAAAATATTTCTTAGAGTAACACTAATCTGGGCACTGCTGCCTTCCCAAGGGTAGCTGGTGCCCTGCTCTGTCCCAGCTCACGAGAGCCCACGGCTTGGCCTCGCTCTTGAAAAGTGCACGCCTTCCTCACCCACACAGGGTCCGTGGGGCCCAGCTTCCCACCAGCCAGACCCCAGTCCTGCTTTTCCTTTTCTTTCCTTTCAAAGTGGGGAAAACCCACTCCAGGCAAAAGCAACGTGTCAACAAGAAATTCACAGTCACTAGAGAACAGACTGTGGGCAATAAAAAACTTGGGGGCTCCTACTGAAGCTGCCCATTTTACTTTAGGGTGCTGATGCCCACATCCACCTCAACACATGCTCCCTGCTGCCACCTTCAAGAAGAGAAAAACTATGAATACCTTGGCTGGTTCAGTCAGGAGAACAGTTTGACTCTTGATCTCGGGCTTGTGAGTTTGAGACCACGTTGGGTGGAGAGAGGACTTAAAAATCTTTTAAAAATGAAGAGAAAAATTAAGTGGTGCCTGACAGTAGAACATATTCACAGGGGGGCGCCTGGGTGGCTCAGTGGGTTAAGCCTCTGCCTTCAGCTCAGGTCATGGTCTCGGGGTCCTGGGATCGAGCCCCGCATCGGGCTCTCTGCTCGGCGGGGAGCCTGCTTCCTCCTCTCTCTCTGCCTGCCTGTTTGCCTACTTGCGATCTCTATCTGTCAAATAAATAAATAAAATATTAAAAAAAAAAAAAAAGAACATATTCACAGGGTCAGCATTTCCTGTGCCTCATGGCACCAGCCACACAACTGCAGCATGGCAGGCAAAGGGACCCACACCTGCTCTCCCCGAGGCTCTTCCCTAACTCTTGTCAACGGCATGACTCCTGTGGCCACACGATTCCTATCATGTCCTGTTCCTGAGGGGACAGCTCACCCAGACAATGGCTTGAGCTGGAACAGGGAGAATCACAAACCTCCACGTGCCCCTTTCCATTCTTCAGGGACATGATGCCGGCAAGGGCAAAGTGATACCAGCAGCAAGAAGGGAAGCAAAGACGAACAACAGAGCAACAGGTGCCAGGACCCAGAGGAGTGATTCCCGAAGTGCAGGACATCTCTCTGCCCAAAGACAAGAGGTGAAACCACGGTTGCCTGCAGGACAAGGGGCCCCTCCACCAGGGAGCCGGAGACCACTGCCAACATCTCAGTACCTATCAGAGCCCTGGAGGCCCCGTGACACCTAGCATCCCCCATGGGAGGATACTCCAGGGGCCAGGGAAGCAGCTTTTAGTGTTTTAGCATTTCTGCAGCCCATCTCAGGAGAACTCAAACCACATGAGACTCTGGGAAGAGACTCCTGGCAGCCCCAGTCTTCCCACCAAATAAGCTCCAGGATTAATGAGTTAGTTTGCTTATTCCCAATTTTAGGGGCTCCCTCGCTGCCTTTATTTTTATGATAAAGGAGGTCAAGAGCAGCTAGACAATGGCCATGACATTGTCTTGGATCAGAAACTCCCCACCTGTTCACCCTTTGGGGTCTGGACGATTTTAGCTGAAGACTGAGATCGCAAAAGAACCACCAGAGAGAGCACAGTGGCCACCACACTGGCCTCAGGACCGCGTGGACTTCTGTGGCTGGGCTTATACACAGAGCTCTTCCCACAAATGCGGGATGGCCCTGTTAAGTGCACTTTCCTTACAATTTCTTTTGTCTAGCCTGCTTTATTTTAAGAATGCAGCATGTGTTACACAGACGAGACAAGTGAGAATCGACTGTTTGAATTCAGCAAGGCTTCCAGTCAACAGCTGGCTAGCCGTTGTTCAGCTGGGGGAAGTCAAGTCGTATGTGTGTTTTCGAATGCACAGGGCTTGGTGCCCCTGACACCTCCCTGCCTTGCTCAAGGGTCACCTGTCCTTAACCGTGTGGCTCAGTATTTCTTATACTGAACCAGCAAAAGGAAATGCAACATGGCCGGGATGCTGAGACTGATAAAGACTTCAATTCTCACCTGTAACCTCTCATTTGAAGTGTAGCTGTTCATCTGAACAGCTTTTTGGTTCCCACTGCTCAACAGTTTTTTTTCTTTTCCCTATAATCTTCTTTTATTTATTTTTAAGTAGGCTCTACACACAACATGGGGCTCAAACTCACGACCTTGAAAGGAAGAGTCACCCACTCCACCAAATGAGCCAGCAGGTGCCCCACACTGCTTAACTTTCTAAAGAAAGCACTTAACTTTCTACAAATTGTTAACTTGTAAAAAAATTTGTATTAATAAAGCAGTTTTTATGTTTGTTTATTTGGTTTTATTTCACAGAAAGAGAGAGACCACAAGTAGGCAGAGAGGCAGGCAGAGAGAGAGGGGGAAGAAGGTTCCCTGCCGAGCAAAGAGCCCAACGCGGGGCTCGATCCTGCGACCCCAAGACCATGACCCGAGCCAAAGGCAGAGGCTTAACCCACTGAGCCATCCAGGTGCCCCAGTTTTTATGTTTTATTTATTTTTATTTTTGTTTTTTTAGATTTTTAAATTTATTTATTTGACAAGACGGAGATCACAAGTGGGCAGAAAGGCAGGCGGGGGGGGGGGAGCAGACTCCCCGCTGAGCAGAGAGCCCAATGTGGGGCTGGATCCCAGGACCCTGGGATCATGACCTGAGCCAAAGGCAGAGGCTTTAACCCACTAAGCCATCCAGGTGCCCCAGTTTTTATGTTTTAATATGAATCTTAAATGCAGGTACATTTGACTCTTAAAAGGTGGTTGAAAAATTCAACATCCATCCCTAACAAAAACAGGAATAAAAATACAGGGCAGAGAGTACTAAAAACAAAATCTAACATGACATAGGCCAAACACTAGACACTCCACTGTTTGCTGGAGTGACAACGCAGCTGCTCAGACGCCAGGCCCGGCGGCTGAGGAAGTGGGAAATCAGAAGCACGGGCACCAGAAGGAGAGATGCACAGGGCGCTGGGCCCCAACATACCATGCCTCCAAGGACAGGTGGTACCGTGTGAGCTAGAACACGATAAACAAGCTGTGAGAAGTGGCTGGACACAAGAAAACTGGTGACTTACATGCCAGCAATGATCACGTAGAAAAATAATGAAAAAGATGACCCAGGAACACCACACCCAACATGTCTGGGCATCCTCTTAGAGGCACCAGGTGTGGCCCAGATAAAGAAAATGACAGACCTCTTCCTGAAACAAGCGAAAAGCTCTTACTAAAGAAAACAGCTAACCCCCTAGGAAACTGTGGGCACCTTTAATATTCCCAAACAATTTTATGGGTTTTTAAAAAGATTTTATTTATTCATTTGAGAAAGAGAGAGAGAGACAGTACATGCACTAGCAGGGGGAGCAGCAGAGGGAGAGGGAGAAGCAGACTCCCCGCTGAGGGGCTCAATCCCCAGGACCCTAGGACGATGACCTGAGCTGAGGGCAGACACTTAAATGACTGAGCCCCCCAGGAGCCCTGATTTTATGGTTTTGAGGACACTCCAGTTACAATCCCAAAAAGACCACCTTAGAACTGAAATAATTCAGAAGTAAACCCAGAAAGGACTGTCCAGAAAGGAAGTGTTCCAGGCCTGGTCCCCTGCAGATAAAAGCCAGCAGGAGGCCTCACTGGGGGAAACGTCAGGTGGAGACCAGTCAGACACAAGTGTCCCACGCGAGAGAAAAGGGCACAGAAGGCTCTGCAGGCCGCTGGGGTCACTGATTGGCAGCACCACCCCCCCAACGCCCCACCGCCGAGTGGTTCATGCAGGTGAACCAGCCCCCACCGCAGTCCTCTAACCTCCCTTAGAGGTCTGGTACCTAGAAACCAGACACTTCACACAAAAACCCAGACTTCTAGGTTGTCTTGAAAGAAAAACAAGAGCTGGCCTTACGAGGCTTTATGGTAAGCAGGAGTTGCACCCCAGGATCAGCAGCCCCTGCTTCCAGCCTCGCGCTGGGCCCCATGCCCCCGAGAGGGTTACCCGTGGATTACAGAGTTTGCTTTAGAATTAAATCTAGAAATGCTCACTTAGGCAAGAGTAAAGATGTTCCATGAACATTCATCAATGGCTCCGTATCATAAAAAGAAAGAGCTCATGACAACAACATCTTACATTGGTCAAAAGAGAAATCTAATTAAAATCAAACCCAGGGGTACCTGGGTGGCTCTGTCGGTTGAGTGGCTGACTCTTGATTTCAGCTCAGGCCGTGATCCTGGGGATGTTGTTGTTGTGCTCTGAACTCAGTGGGGAGTCTGCTCGGGATTGCCTCTCCCCCAACACCCACTCTAAAATAATAAATAAAATCTTTGAAATCAAACCCAAGATCAGGGTGCCTGGGTGGCTCAGGCAGTTAAGCATCTGCCTTTGGCTCAGGTCATGATCCTGGGGTCCTGGGATCAAGCCCCACATCTGGCTCCCTGCTCAGCAGGGAGTCTGCCTCTCCCTCTCCCTACAGCTCCCCCTGCTTGTGAACACACTCTTTCTCTCTCTAATAAATAAAATCCTGTTTAAAAAAAAAAAAAAAATCAAATCCAAGAGCCAGGTGGGGAGTACTCTTGCCACATGCAGGGGCCAGCAAGGATTGCTGCTGGGAGGGGCTCTGAATCAGACTCTTCTGTGTCCCCACCATACACCGCATGTGTGCCAACCTCATTCCACAAAGATGCTCACACATGCAAGAAAAGCCTCTCAAGCCCCCTGTGTTTAAACACAATTTTGCTTCACCATCAACCAAGTTTTTGTGTATGACTTACATAGTTTTTATTTTAGGAAACTAAATCTGTTCCAGGAAGCATTCTCCAGAAAAGTGTTATAGACAAGATGAAGTGATAAATGAACAAGCTCAAATTATAAGAAAACTCAGAAGACCCTATAGCTCTGTGGTTGTGAGGGGCCAGCTGGACAGCAATTGGGAAAGATGTCTGTATTCCCAGATTGGAAGAATCTGGGCTGTCCAAAGGGAGAGACAGGCTCTACTCTGGGTATCTCGGGCAAGTGGACAAGGGCCTGGGAGTCAAGAGACAGGTCTGGGAATCCAACCACGTAGGTGGGGAAGCTGATCAGAAGGAAACTATGCTCGGGGATGCCGGGCAGAGGGAATGGTGGGTGGGAGAGCACAGGAACCCTGAGGGACGTTCGAGTCCACGTATGACAGTGGACAGGGAAGTATGGATGCCACTCCCCCCAGGAAGTCCTCCAGCCTCACAAAGTACCACCACAGGGAAGGGCTAAGTCCACCACATCCCACACATCCCCCACCAGGTGGGGGCAAGCCTTGCGGCCAACAGTCACTCAACACAATGCTCTACAAAGGACCAAATGGGGTTTGAGGGAGGGTCTTGGTGCAGCCTATGTCTCCTTGCACAAGTACATGAAAACCCACAGACAAACAGCTGTGGGAATGTGGAAAAGCACATGGTGCACAGTAAGTACACACTTTTCAAAAAACAGACACATGAAGAAAAGACCAGAATAAAATTCACCAAAATGTAATAATATTTACAACAGGTACTAGGATCATGAATGTTTATTTTCCCAAGTTCCAATAACATATGAGGTTAAAGAACAGGAGGGTAGACTATACCATCCCCTCCAAATCAGGAGTCACACAGCACTCAAGCATTTTCAAGCTCCCACTTTAAAGGGACGCACAGTGACGTTGTTGACTTACAGGTGGCTTATCAGCCCCACGGTGTTGGCACAGCTGAGACAGGCACGATCTCTCAGAGTACCTACGACAAAGACAAGGAGAAAACAAGAATATAAGTCTCAAACCAGGGGCTGCAGACTGATTTCACCTTTTAGAGTCTCTTTTGCAGAGTAAGTCTCTGGAATTCTGTTCTGAATGTTGGAAGGTTTCAGAGTGCTGCTAAGTGAAGGGTCTGTTCAGTTAGGAACACAGGGTCTTGGGGTAGCCCTAGAAAGAAGGGGAATCTTAAACAGCCCCGGGCTTCAAACACCCCAACCAGGGATACCGAGTTTCACCAGCACAGGGTCCACAGAGCCCAGGCATGGGGGTCTTCCCAGGCAGGACCACTCCCTCACTCCAGCTGATGCCAGGCTGCATGGGACCCCCAACGCCCAGACACCCCACAGAGCAACAAGGACCCCATGCAAACAGCCCAACACCTTCTCTGCCCACAGGAAGGGGCGAGGGCTATGAGAATTACTGGTAAAACAGACACTAAGAGCAAGCTATTTCTTGGATAAACAGTACTGGTGAGTGTACAGCATACTTTAATGATTTTGGTGTATTTTTAACACTTTTTCTAAATCAGTATGGTTTCTGTAAGCATAAATTCAGAGTTCGTTCTCAAGACCAATGCCCTGGCTTACCTGGGATCAAGCCCTGTGCTGTGGAGACCTCCTGCGGAGGGAACGTAACAAATATGGGGGCCACGGGGCCAGAGGCACCATGCTGACAGGGTGCCAGGCCACAAGGCTGGAAAGGCAGGCTGGCACCCTAAGACCCTGAGGCAGCAGGAGTACACAGAGCTGGTGCGGGGTGCTGAGGGTTCAGTCTGGGAACCAGAGTGAGAAGGGAGGAGAGAAGATGGGTATGACAGGGGACAGGTGCCAGCCCAAAACACCCTTCGAGCAGGCCAGGCAGGGGAGACCCAAGCAGCTCCGGCGGACCCTCTGGAGACAAAGACTTCTACTTGTCACTTTATGTATCCCAAGAGAAACCTAGTGTCATCACAGGCAACTTCAGTGTAGAAGGCTATTCCCATCAAATTCGGGACCTTGTAGTATAGGTGACAGTCTTGTTTAAGCTGGGCTCTGGGCTCCCAAGTGGTTACCATGATTCATAATCTTTTATACTTCAAACACTACATTTTAAGTAACATGAAGCCCTTCTTACTCCAGCTGAGGACCAAACAGAAGTGTGCCAGACCTGAACTAGCCCCGCACCTCAAGAACATGGCTCCCAGCCCCGCACCCGCCTCCCCCCAGCAAAAAGACAAGCTGTCACAGCTCCCAGAGCTCCTTGGCCTGCCCTCCCATCACTATATTATGTGAACTGCACATCCCCTGTCCTACCTGGCCCCTTCCCACAATCTCTGCACTCTGAAGGTTTCCCCAGCCCTCCAAGGAGCCTGCTCCTAAGGGATCCAGGGGGAGGACTCGGGGATACGGGCTATAGATGGGCCATTTCCTCCTTCTATAAATCCCTTTAATCCCCATCCCCACAACCAATTCTCCAACTCTCTGGCCCTAGCTGGACAGCCTACTAGTTGGTTCTGTCTGACCCTACCTGGAGTTAGTGCACCCCCACAGTTATTAAGGCTTCAGTCCCACAACACTGCTCAGCTTCAGACCCCAGTTGCAAATAGGGTCCTCAGGTCACCCACATCTCTGCCAATTACAAATAGGAGGGTTCCCACCACCACTTTGAGTTTTATTAATTCTCTCCAACAACATAGAACTCAGGAAAATTATCTACTATTATAGTTTATTATAAAGGACATGAGGACCAGCCAGATGGGGAGGCACATAGTGCATGGTTTAGAAGACTTCTGAGTGCAGGAGTCTGTGTCCCTGTGGGCTTGGCATCTACAGATGCCACTAAGTCCAATGCTCCCCAAGACCCCTTAGTCAAGAGTTCTTTTCTTCATTACCTAGACATGACTGATCACACCCTAGGCCACTGGCAATCAATGTCAATTCCCAGACCCTCTCCCCTCCCTGAAGGTTGGGATTCTACAACAGAGCTGAACAGTCCTCAAAACTGTCAAGAAAACCCTGAGAAACATGTCACAGCCGAGACTAAAGAGAAATAACTACAACCTGTAATGTGGTGTCCTGGGTAAGGTCCTGGGGTGCAGCAAGACATCAGAAATAAAATATGTGCACAATAAAGGAAAGGTACTAATAAAAAACAAAGGTGAATAGAAAGTATGTAAATAACAAAGTAAAAAAATCAGAATAAAGTGTGGGACAGAGGGCACCTGAGTGGCTCAGCTAGTTAAGCAATTGCCTTCAGCTCAGGTCATGATCCCGGAGTCCAGGGATCGAGTCCCGCATCCGGCTCCCAGCTCCACGGGGAGTCTGCTTCTCCCTCTGACCTTCTCCTCACTAATGCTCTCTCTCACTGTCTCTCCCTCAAATAAATAAATAAATAAAATCTTTAAAATAAAATAAATAAAATTTTAAAAAGTGTGAGACAGAATAAAAGAAATCTGAATACAGTATGGAGCTCAGTTAGTAACAATGTACCAATGTTGGTTCACTAATTGTGACAATGAGCCACACTGACAGAAAAAGTTAATACTGGGGAAACTTGCTGCAGAAAAGGGCCACTGCGCCCAGCCAGGAATGTTCTGGAAGGTTCAAGAATGGATTCGGAGTCCAGCCGTGGGTCTCCCAGGCTCTGGATTCCCTGTTGGTCCTACAGCAAACCTAATGTCCAAGCCACTCTCAGCCCCTTCCTGTATAATAAAGAACAGTGCTAACTACAAGAAACATCTGTATTCCCAGAATGACACAACCATAAAAACAAATTCTGCTCACTTTTAAACTGTGAACGTGCTACAGAAACCTGAAGTGGCCAAAGTATTTTTATTACCATGCTTAACAGGGAAGAGATACACGGAGAACTCTAACAGCAGAGGGACCTGGACACCCAGACCATTCACACCGTCAACTCCCACTGCTCAGTGCCCTTCCCATGGCTCCAAAGTTCTAAGCAGCCAACAGTCATTACTGTTAAAAATTACAAGAATCATGTTTCTTGGGTGTGCTTTTGTGAATCCTAAAGTACTTTGAAATATATTTCACTTGAGCCTCTAATACTTGTAAGGGAAGTACTAATCTTAACAGATAAGGAACAAACTCAGGTTAATGTAAAAAGAATCAGAAAGGGAGTCTGGACTACTGACATATGGACCCCTAAGAACCCCGAGTTAGGTGTGATCTCTGTGTGGACAGCAGAATCACAGAGGCTGGGGATACCAGGGGACCTGCCTGGGGCCATCCCGAGCAAGGCCAGGGGTCCCCTCTACAAACACGTAACTGTACTAGAATACCGGCGCTGTGGATGTCCTACAAGCCCGCAGACCCTGGCCATCTCATCTCAAGGAGTCCTAAACGTGTCCCAAGGGCACGACTTTCCCCGAGAGTGAACACGGCGTTCCACCAAGCTTAACCACGACAGGAGCGCCCAGACCGTCCCAGGGCTGGCCGTTAGCGCGCTCCCTTCAAAAAACTTTCCGAACCCCGCTCAGGACGCCGCCGCCAGCAGCCGGGCGGCTAAGGTCACGGTGCGAGTGAGTCACAGGCCGCCGCCCCGCGCGCGGCTCCCACACCCCGACACCGGGCTGGCCAGGGCGGGCAGAGGGGCGAGGCGGCGCAAGGTCCCAGCCCCGCGTGACCCCAGCCCCAGCCCAAGGTCCGAGCGCCACTACCCAGCGACCCACCAGGGCGCCCGCCGGCGCTGTGCTGCCGCGGGGCAGCCGAGGCCCGAGGCTCGAGGCCCGAGACCGTCCCACCCGGACTCCCGGCCCTCTGCTCTCGTCCTCCCGACGCCGCCAGCCCCGGCCCCAGGCCTCGGCCCCGCCCGGCCCACCCGACCCCGCCGGCCCCGGCTCCAGGCCCCGCGCTGTCGGCAGAGCGCCGGCTTCTTACCCCTCGGGGCGGCGGTGCGGGGCGGCGGGAGGCGAGAGGGCGCCCAGCTGCAGCAGCTCCTCAATAAGATGGACGCCATGTGCCCAGCCGCGGCGGCCGCTCGGGCCTCCTGCTGCTGCCTCCTCCTCCTGCGCGGCGGCTGCGGCTGCTCGCCCGCCCGCCCGCCGGCGCCTCGGCCCGCCCGCGCGGACGGTTGAAGGCGACGGTTGGCTCCCGGCGGCGGGCGCTCAGCTCAAGGACCCGGCACCGGCGGCAGCCATGTCCCGGCACAGCGTCCGGCAGCGCGGGGCGGGGCAGCCAGGCCGCCGCTCCCATTGGGCCCCTCGGGCGCCCGCCGCCCGCCAGGTGCAGGGCGGGCTCGGGCCGCCGCGGACTGCGGGTCCCGGCGTGCCCCGCGACGGCCGGACCCCGAGACCGCGCGGAATTCTGGGGCCCGCCGCGCCGGCCGCGCTTGCGCGCTGGGCCCTTCCGGGTCGGGGCAGGCGGAGAGCGGCGGCGCGCGCTGCTGGGGGCGCTCGGAGGAGGGCCCTATGGAGGAACGCAGTCCGCCGGGTTTGGGTGGCGGAGCAGGTGCTCGCTGTAGGTTTCGTCCCCTTCCCGCGCGTAGCCCCGAGGGGCCCTCCCTGGGGCCGGGCCTAGGGCTGCGCCCCCAGCTCACGGGCTGACCCTCCCAGCTGAGCTCAGACGCCTGCTCCAGAAGATCTTCCACCCAGAGCGGACCTTTTAGCCCACGCTCTCCTTTCCTAAGATGGGGTTCTTTCGTCATGGTCGTACGGGGACGGAGGAGGTGATGCAGGAAAAGCAGGCAGGGAGAGATGGGGTGGGCGGCTCCTGGGGTTCAGTGGACGTGGTCCCCCCCCGCCCCCCACCCCCAGCAGGCAACTCCTGCCAGCCTGCACTCCAGCCCGGCGGCAACAGGCTCCTCCTCGGGACACGCTCCCGTCCTTGCCCCATCCCACGCTTAGCCTGGAAGGCCTTTTACCTCCCTCTGGCCTTACGTGCCTGTTTCTTGTTCGCGGATGTAAATCCCAAGGTACCGCTTAGGGGAGGTCCGGCAGTACTTACTCGGTGCAGAACTGTTCTCTGGGCTGCAGGAGTGTGGAAGCCCTAATCTTAGCAGGCTCCCCGCTCTTGAGAGACTGAACTTGGTTGAATTGCATGTCTCTTTGGGGGGCTCGGCCCTCACCATCAGGAAGAAGATGCCTCCCTGCAGTGGTTTTCTTTTCCGGGACTGTCAGATGCTGGGCGGAGATGGGCCTGGCGTCCCCATCTCAGGTGGGAGAAAATGGAGCTAGTTAGTGCAGAGCATTTGGGAGACCAGATGAAGTGCTTATGTTGTCACTGGGCAGTGAGCGCTACGGACATCATAACACAGAGTTAATCTAAGCACGTTGATGCCTGAAACAGGCCTCCCAGGTCAAAAGCCCATAAAGCCAGGACCCTATCCTATACATCCCTCAGGAGGCAATGGTGGGATAACGAAGGATAGTTCTTGTCCGTGGACCCCAGGGTCAGGTCTGAATCAGGGCAAACAGGTGCTCAGGATCAGATAGGACTGGCCTTCCAATGTCCAAAGTGTAGGAGAAGGCTTGTGCTGATACTAGTAACTGACATTGGCCCTCAGCTCCTGAAGGCTGGGTTCCAAAGCCATCAAGGGGCAGGTAGGGAGCCCCACAGAGTGGGTGAGAATCAAAGCTGGTCCCTAACAATGCTGTGTCTGCAGGACTTTGAAGGACAGAGGATGGGGGGAAGGCCCCATCTGCCTCTGTACTGCCCAAGGGGTCAAGTGTAAGGAAATACGGCAACAATGTTCACTTGTCCTTGGCATGATTCTCCTGTGGCCCACCTAAGTTGCATGAGAGAGAGAAGCAAAAATAGAGGGGGCGCTTGTGAACACCCACCTGGGATGCTTTCTGCAGCTCCAATGCTAGGGTGGAGTTTTAGGGAAAGTCCTTTTTAACAATACCTTTATTGGACTTTCTTTCTTTTTGCAAAGATTTTATTTATTTGAGAGAGTCAAGCCAGGCGAGAGGCAGAGGGAGAGGGAGACGCAGGCTCCCTGATGAGCAGGGAGCCCAATGCAGGCCTCCATTCCAGGACCCTGAGATTAGGACCTGAGCCTAGAAGGCAGAGGCTCAACCGACTGAACTCCCCAGGCAATCCCCATTATTGGTTTTTCTTATTAGCTAAAGAACATGTGCTTATTATAAGCATTTTAAGTTTATAAAAATAAATATAAAGGGGCACCTGGGTGGCTCAGTCGGTTAAGCGGCTGCCTTCAGCTGAGGTCATGGTCCCAGGGTCATGGGATGGAGCCTCTCATCAGGCTCCCTGCTTGGCGGGGAATCTGCTTCTCCCTTTGCCTCTCGCCCCTGTTTGTGCACTCGCTCACTCTCTCTCAAATAAATAAAATCTTTAAAAATAAAAGGCATATAAAGAAACAAGTAGAGGGGTACCTGACTGGCTCAATCCATAAAGCATGCAGGGCTTGATGTTGGGGTCAGAAGTTCAAGTCCTACATTGGGCATAGAGCTTACTTAATAATAAAAATAATAATTAAAAAAACAAGTAGAAACCTGGCATCCTGCCAGCTTGCCATCCATACCCTTAATGCCACGTCAGTGGCTGCCTTCTTGCTCCCCGCCTACTCATGCAGCAGTCCAAGTGTACAGAATCCTGGCAGTGGGTCTGTTTTTGTATCACAGACTCTGCTGTTTTTCTTTCTTTTTTCTCTCTTTTTTTAAAGTCCTTTTTCTTTTCTCTATGCTCCCTACAAATTGAACATAATCTTCCATAGTCGCTCCATGTTTACACAAGTGACAAGAGTCCCAAGAAACAAGGTGGGATACACAGCACAAATGCCCCAGCTAGGGAGTTTAGAGAATCGGTTGAGGATGAGGTCAGGAGTCAGGTTAGGGATCTGGTTGGGGGGAGGTCATGTTAGACATTGGGTTAGAGGATCAGGTTAGGAATCAGGATAGCGGAGGAAGACCCAGCTGTTTGCCCTCCTGTGGCCAGGATCAGGCTCAGAGCAGGCTCAGATCAGGCTCAGAAACTGGATTGTACAGGGTTGGAGTTTTGCCCAGAAGGGTGATGAAGGAAGAGAGGGACTGTAGAGTTTAAGATGTGTGCAAAAGAGTGGCTGTAAGGTTTGACTGGGAAATTTAAACGGGGGATGAGGGGAAGTGAGGAAAAGGTGGGAGCCGCTTGGGATAGTGGAAAGTGGCAGGACCACTGGCCTGTGGGGCTGCGGGTCCTGAAGGGCCTTGGGAGTCAGGTACCATGGGAGTCAGGTACCACAGCAAGTGAGCTAGCAAAAGAGGGATGTTCACAGTGGGTGGTGGGTGGCTTGCATTTATTGGCTATGGCAAGTGCGAGGATGTGAGCCCAGGAGAAGGGCCTGAAGTGAAGCTGAAGGGCAAGGCCCTTGGGGTGGAAGAGCCAGGACACCTTTGAGCACCATGGGGAAAGGCATGCCTTCCTCCAACTGAAAGCAGCCTCAGCCAGGCATACACAGCAGAAGGAGCAGGTAACTAGCCTCCAGCCCTATCTTGTTGTTGGAACAACATACACAACCAGGGTGATGGCCCGGACTAGAGTATGGAAGAGACTTTTATTTGGGTCCTTGAGTACACAGGAATGGTGTCTATTGGGCTGAGTCTAAGCCTACTCACTCCCCACAGCGTCACCCATTCTTAGGTTTCTGGGTTTCCTGGAAAATGCTCCATTCAGCAGCTTTCCTTGACCCTTCTGCTTCCTTCTGCCTGCCAAGCACTGTGGGTGATGGGATGGAAAGGACGGACCCTGGACTTCTGATCTTGGACTTGTTCTACCTAATCGAGGAAACATCCATCTTTTCTCAGCCACTGTTATTTGAAGGGGTTTCTGTATATAAAACTGAACTTTATTGTAACAAACTCAAGGACAGATCCCTAGAAGCTGGATTGCTGAGTCAGTGTGACTGCCAAGGTATATTTTTGTAAACCTTTAAAATTAAAGTTTTTATTATTTTTTAAGATTTTATTTATTAGAGAGAGAGCAAGCGGGGGGAAAAGCAGGGGGAGCCTGGCATAGGACTCTATCCCAGAACCCTGGAATCATGACCTGAGCTGAAGTTAGACGCTTAGCCAACTGAGCCACCCAGGTGCCCCTCATTTGTTGATTTTTTTTTAATTTTTTATAAGATTTTTTATTTATTTATTTGACAGAGATCACAAGTAGGCAGAGAGGCAGGCAGAGAGAGAGGAAGGGAAGCAGGCTCCCCGCTGAGCAGAGAGCCCGATGCGGGGCTCGATCCCAGGACCCTGGGATCATGACCCGAGCTGAAGGCAGAGGCTTTAACCCACTGAGCCACCCAGGTGCCCCTCATTTGTTGATTTTTAACAGCTTCTATTTTTTCTATAGAGGTTTCTCTTCATTCATTAGATCATATTTTCCTTTATTGAACATCTTCAAACACCTGCCTTAAAGTTTTTCTCCGCCATATCTAAAACTGGGCTTATGGTTGGTTCTTTCTTTTCTTTTTTTTTTAAGATTTTATTTATTTATTTGACAGAAATCACAAGTAGACAGAGAGGCAGACAGAGAGAGAGGAGGAAGCAGGCTTCCTGCTGAGCAGAGAGCCCCATGCGGGTCTCGATCCCAGGACCCTGAGATCATGACCTGAGCTGAAGGCAGACGCTTTAACCCACTGAGCCACCCAGGCGCCCCTTTTCTAAGATTTTATTTATTTATTTGACAGACAGAGATCACAGGCATACAGAGAGAAGAAGCAGGCTCCCCACTGAGCAGAGAGCCCCATGCGGGGCTTGATCCCAGGACCCTGGGATCATGACCTGAGCTGAAGGCAGAGGCTTTAACCCACTGAGCCACCTAGGCATCCCAATGGTTGGTTTCTATTAATTGTTTTTTTACCTTGATAATGGCCACATCTCCTTTTTTCTTTGCATGCTCAGTGACTTTGTTGCTCACTGATTGTTGTGGATGATATGCTATAGTCTCTAGATTCTGTTATCTTCCTTTGACAATGACATGTGTGCTTTCAGATCACTAAACACTCTGTGGCTTCTGCCTTCTGCCCTCCAGATTCCCATTCTGGGAAAGTCAGCCCCTGTGTTGGGAGGATACTCAAGCAGCCTGAGAGAAGGCCCACGTGGGGAGGACCTGAAGCCTCCTGCCAATGGCCAGCAACATCCGAGTAAAGCTATCCCCATAGCCTATCTGCAGCCCCAGCCAAGGTTTTGGATGATGGCAGCTCTGGGCATCATCTTGTCTGCAAGGACAGAACTAGCGGTCTCAC